CTCAGGGTATTTTGGTGGACCCCTCAGAAGGTGGCAGCTGTGGAGAATTGGGAGCAACCACGAACCGTCACTGAGGTGAGGAGTTTCATTGGTTTGGCAGGTTATTATCGACGGTTTGTTAAGGATTTTTCGGTGATTGCTTTACCATTGACGAGGTTAACGAGGAAGGATGTTAAATTTGAGTGGGATGATAAGTGTGAACAGAGTTTCCAGCAGTTGAAGTATTATCTCACTCATGCACCTGTATTGGCACTCCCGGACGATAATGGTGATTTCGAGGTTTATAGTGATGCTTCTTTGAATGGTCTGGGATGTGTGTTAATGCAACATGGTAGGGTGATTGCTTATGCTTCGCGACAGTTGAAACCTCATGAGTTGAATTACCCTACGCATGATTTAGAGTTGGCTGCTATTATCTTTGCGTTGAAGTTGTGGAGACACTACCTTTATGGAGAGAAATGTAGAATCTTTACGGATCACAAGAGTCTCCAGTATCTTTTTACTCAGAAGGAACTTAATCTTCGTCAACGGAGGTGGATGGAGTTACTCAGCGATTATGATTGTACGATTGATTATCACCCTGGTCGTGCAAATGTAGTTGCGGATGCACTTAGCAGGAAGTCTCAGGGCCGCATTAATGCGTTGTATGCGAGTCGTATTCCTCTTTTGGCGGACTTGCGTTTTACGGGAGTGAGGTTAGAAGCAGAAGTTAGAGATGTGGCTTTACTTACTAATTTTCAAGTTAGGCCAATGTTAGTTGATCGGGTATGTGAAGCCCAGGTGGCTGATAGGGAGACTCAGGAATTAGTTCAAGCTCGAGACCGAGGGAGGAAGAGAGACCTCAGAGTTCGTGATTCGGATGGCATGTTGATGCAGGAGGGTAGGATGTTCGTGCCTAATAATTTGGATTTAAAGAAAGAAATTCTCGATGAAGCACATATCTCAGCTTATGCCATGCATCCAAGAGCTACTAAAATGTATCATACCATTCGACCATTTTATTATTGGCCAGGTATGAAGAGGGAGATAGCTGAGTATGTGAGTAGGTGCGCTGTTTGTCAGCAAGTTAAAGCAGAAAGGAAGAAGCCGTTTGGGTTGTTGCAGCCACTTCCCATTCTAGAGTGGAAACGAGAAAATATTACCATGGATTTTGTGTACAAGCTTCCGCGTACACATAATGGCTTTGATGGCATTTGGGTGATCATTGATCGGCTCACTAAGTCGGCACATTTCATTCCAGTGAGGGAGAAGTATTATTTGGGCTGATTAGCAGAGTTTTTCATCTCGAAGATTGTAAAATACCATGGTGTCCCTGTGAGTATTGTCTCGGATCGTGATCCACGATTTACGTCTAAGTTTTGGGTGGCTTTTCAAGAAGCGTTGGGTACGAGGCTACTTTATAGCACGGCGTATCATCCTCAGACAAACGGACAGTCAGAGAGAACTATTCAGACTTTGGGAGATATGTTGCGAGCTTCGGTGTTGCAGTTTGGTGATGCTTGGCACCAACGGTTGGATTTGATGGAATTTGCCTATAATAGCAGCTTTCATTCGAGTCTTGGCATGGCGCCATTTGAGGCATTATATGGTAGAGCTTGTCGCACACCGTTGTGTTAGTCAGAGGTTGGAGAAAGAATCTTAGTGGGTCCAGAGATTGTTGAGGAGACTACTCAAAATGTTCAGGTAATTAAGTCTAACCTGAAAGCAGCCCAGGACAGGCATAAGAGTTTAGCCGATCGGCATGCTACAGAAAGAGTGTATGAGGTCGGAGATTGGGTATTTTTGAAGCTTTCACCGTGGAGAGGTGTTGTGAGGTTTGGGAAGAAAGGCAAGTTGAGCCCCAGGTACGTCGGACCATACATGGTCACAGAGCGAGTTGGTGAGGTAGCTTACAGGTTGGAGTTGCCTCCGGAGTTGGCTAGAGTGCATAACGTTTTTCACGTGTCCATGTTTCGACATTACGTTGCTGATCCATCTCATGTGATACCTCCACAGCCCTTGGAGATTAATCCAGACTTGACTTATGACGAGGAACCAGTGACGATACTAGATTGGAAGGAAAAGGTTCTGAGGAACAAGACGGTGAACTTAGTGAAAGTTTTGTGGAGGAATCATTCCGTTGAAGAAGCTACGTGGGAGACAGAAGATCGGATGAGGGATTTGTATCCTAGATTGTTCTTTGGTCACTAGGGGTTGTGTTTGGTTGTTTTGAATTTCGGGACGAAATTCTTGTAAGGTAGGTAGGTTGTGACAGCCCGTCCCGAAAATATAAAAAACGTACGTTTGAAAAGACAGTTTTGCCCCTAGCTCGATTTCATTACGTTTATTATTTGTTTTTGGGGTTTTGTTGGCATGTTTGGTGCCACACACACCTTCCCACACACCACAACCTTTCTCCTTGTTTTTCTGCACCTGTCACGAGCCCCATTCCTTCTCTTTTTCTTCGAAAACGTACGGACACACACACAAGCACACTAAACCTCCACAGATCGAAGGAGCTGAGCACATATTCGAGCTCGTGAGGCTCGTACGAGTCCAACCATACCATTTCCAGGTAAGAACTCCAACGTTTTCACGTCGATTCGACGATGTCCGATTTGAGTACTATTCATGCACACGTGATTTCTCACGTTTTAGGGAAAATGAAGCTTGTAGATAGCTTGGTGAGGTCCCAAGGAGACTCGGAGTAGTTCGTTTGAGGGAATTGGACGTCGGGATCGTTGGTTTCGAAGTTGGCCGGAGTTGGTTCGATTTTTCAGGTGAGATTTCGTGGTTTTTAGCCCTTAAAAGTTGTATGGTTGTGTTCCTCTAGTTCTAGGTTTCATTTTGGTACCAAAATCGTGGAATTTGGTTGAAAAACGAAAGAGTTATGACGTTTTAAAAAATTTTCCAGCTTTCCGGCGCCTGCGACGTCGCCGGAGGTTCGCCGGGGAAGAATACGGAATATTCCGTCAAGTCTGGCGGAATATTCCTAACGCCGTTGACGGAATCCGTTAAGGATGACGGAATATTCCTAACAGCGTCAGTTGACGCCGTCAGTGTGCCAGGCACGTGCCTGCGCGTGGCCGGCGCGTGTGGCCGTGTCTTGGCCGGCGCGTGGGGGCGTATGCGGCGGTGAAAAATTTTTCTGAAAATTTGTGGATGTTCGTGAGGTTGAGTAGATCACGTTGGTGTATTCATACACCCCATTTGAGCAATGTATGAGAAGTTATTTCGAAAGTTTGGTTATGTGCTTTAAAATTAACATTTTTGTAGTTATTTCGCATATAGGTGAGACATATCCCGAGGACGAGCATGGTCACTCGAGGCAAGGGGCTACAACCCTTCCACTTATCAGTGAGTGGGCTTTTGGTTTTCCGTACATACCTATAAACTTATATTTTCCCAGAAATTGATTTAAATATTTATTTGTTATATGTCATGCATTATATTATTGTCAGTTATGCATCATTAGTTGCATTATTGGGCGTATATATTTATATACATATGCATATTTGGTGCTGTGGACGCACAGGTAAGTGCCAGGTAAATGTTATTCATGTTTACTTTTAAATGGTGATTCGAGATGCTTAGAGAGCTCATAACCTACACCCCCGGTGTTAGTGCTCCCGTCCAGAGTAGGGCACAGTCCTTCACGTGTTGTTCACCTCCCGCACCACACGCTCAGCTTGGATCCAAGTTAGGTGCACAGTCCTGTCGTACAGACCACTTTAGGTGGTTCCGACTCGTAGGTGACCCGCGATTATTCGCACAGCCTTCACGTGATCGTAGCACTAGAACGTTTATATGTATTACACCCAGGCCTGTCGTACAGACCACTTTAGGTGGTTCCGACTCGTGGACATGTTTAGTTATTGTGATTGAGATCTGAGCTCTAGATGCAGCCGTACAGGTCACGTTAGGTGACACCGGCTGCCAGATTATATATTATTGATGTGATTTATACCTGAGCACTTGCATTTCATTTTGAGGTTCCGACATGGCATATTCTTGAGCATGTTTGGCATATCTATATATACGTACATATGTTTATTTTTTGGGAAGTATACAGGTTTTACGGCGAGGGGTTAGAATCTTGTGTTGAAATGGTTTCGAAAAGCTTTGTTTTTGCCCACTCACGCTTTTGTTTTGCGCCCCTCCAGGTTCTAGCTACATAGCAGATTCGGTGGTTTCCCAGAGGGCTTTCTCGGCATTTCTGACAGACGATCACCAGCGTAGGGCCACCTTCGGGTGTACTGTTGTAGCGTCATTTTAGTTTGGACTGCTTTAGGCTTTCTGCTCTGAACTTGTGTCACTTACGCTAGCACTTACTACTTCTACCTTATGTATGCTAGTTTTTATTTATTCGTACTTTTACGTTACTATTTTTTTTAGCTTCCGCACTGTGCACATGGCTACGTCACTTCCACGTGACGGCCAGCATGCCCTGATCTCGTTCGGGGTGTGTCACTACAGGCCAAATGATAGCCCGTTTTGACACAATACTCATCTCAAATTGAGGTTTGACCCAAAAAAGCTTGGGACCCACTGGGCCAAAATTCAGCCATATGGGCAGCGGGTTGGGCAAGCATAGTCAGCCTGTTCAATTGGGGCTAGCTGTGCTGCTAGCTGACGTCATGTAGCTTTATTTATTTAATTTTTTTTAAAACGAAATTAAAAAAAAAAAAAATTCTAATTTTTTTCCCTATAAATACCTAAGCCATTTCCACATCATTTCTCACATCCTTTTCACCATTCCATAGTATCTTATCTCATTTTAATGTTTAAGTTGTTAACATGCAAGTAAAACTAAAATATTGAATAATATGAAACTTAAAAAAATATTTAGTGACAAAACCTTATTTTAACATAGTAGTTTAATTCAATAAATTAATAAAATTAAAGAACGAACTTGAAATAATAAATTATTAAGGAAGTTAAAAATTCGCCCATTCATATAAATAATGCTAATCACTGTTTATTAAAAAATAATTTTTGGTAGAAATATAATATGAACAAAAAGGATTAAACTGATTTGGTTGGAGATGGCCTTCACACCCTTGAGAACGAGAAAGCCAACGCCAGCGGCTCATGCCCATTCAAGCGGGAGGCCTGGGCAAAATGACCCGACTCATGACCCAAACCCATGTCTAGTCCGCGCCAAGCCCGCGCTGCTGTTGTATATGCCACCGTTTCGCTCTTTGGCAATGGCAGGAAAAACCTCTGCTATGCTTTGCTTCCGGTCACCCCACCAATTCCAATCATCAATTCTCAACTTTCTTCAACGTTTTTCAGATTTGGAATCGAACTCACGTTTGATTTTCCATTTTCTTCGATCCCCACTTGAAATTTTCAGCTAAACATAGATTTCTCCGACGAATTTCAGATATCAGAGAGGGAGAGATGGGGATGAGAGTGAGAGCCCTGGGGGCACTGCCGAGCCTCATTCGGAGCCTCCAGAAGGAAGCCCACCCGAAACCCGCAAACCCGCAATCGCTGCCGTCGCTGAGACGCGCCTTCTCTCTCTACGATCAGATCAATCTCATCGACAACGTCCCCAGCGACCAGCTTCGGTTTCAACGGTATTATTGCAATTATCTCTCATCTCTCTCTCTCTCTCTGAAATTTTCGCAAGGAAATTACCATTTTGCCACTGTCTGTGAAGGTACACGGACACAGGGTTCACAGTGAATGGGGTGGACTTTGAAGGAAGCCTACTGTGTGTTGGAAACATGTTGATGTCTTGGGCTCCCAACAAGTTCTCTCAAATCACTACTGATAGGTGGGTGTGTGTGTGTGTGTGTGTGTGTGTTTACTTACTTAATCATCCTGTTAATTATTCCTAAAACCAAGGGAAGATAAAGATTAATACTTTGTTTGTTTAAGGTTGTTATGAGGATTTTGATATTTTTGCTTCTTTCGGTTGAAGTCTTTGTCTAGCTTTCATTACAAACATGTATGAATGCATGAAAATTTTAGTTTTTATAGTACATTAGAATGGTGGTATGGTGATTGTGAGGCTCAAGTAACCGGCTCTTAATGGATTTTATGGTGTTGTGCAGCCTATCCATCTTTCGAACCGTGCGACCTGTACCAGGTAAAATTCAAATCGCATTTTAATCCTGTTATGTTTCACGTGCACCTTGTTATAGCTTGTCCTCCAGAGATTATTTTTGTATAGGCACGTGTAGACAAAACTTTACAAGGCCAATTTCCTTAACCGAACTTCAACTGAACCCAGCTAATAATAATCTGCGTATCAAAAAGTATTTATTCAGTACAGAGTCATCAAGTACATTCTGAATAAGTAATTACTGACGTTCATGACTCACAAACACACATGGACATGCGCATATGATGGCATATGCAGAAACTAGCCCTCTCATTCATTTGAGCAAATGTGAAATAGGATATATCTGTTCGTTCCTTTTCCTTTGTTCGTTGGTTTGGATCACTTTTATGCATGCTTCTAAACAGAACCCCTGTCATCTGCCAAAACAAAACAAATACATGGTCTCATTTTTCACACCCTTCTTCATATTATTGTATTGCACAAGATATGCAAGCTTCAAGAAAGCTTATGAAAGGTTCATGGCAGAGTCCTCATAAATTTTGGTTTTATCAACAATCGAAGAAATAAATGCCATCTTGTGTGTGACGGGCTGGTGTATGACCCACTCTCTGAAAGTTTCCTTTTAATTGGACTATATGCTTTTCTTTTTTCTATTAGTGTATCAATTCTTGTGTTTCAGTTGCAGAAATCTAACTGTTTTTCTCTTCCTTCATATTTTGTTAATTTGTGGTTTCTCTTCAGACAATAATGTGAATTCAGTGGTAATGCTTTTTATGTTCTGTTGGAAGTTTACTTACTTCTCTTACATTAATCTGTATTTGGAATTAAACAACATGATGTTGTACATTATTCTGTGATGACAAATCTGAAGTATTAGTAACCTAACAACAACACTACAAATGCCTTTTCGTTGTGTGGAAGTGCTTTTGGCGCTATCAAATGCACTCCCAAACTCATCTAATGTGGAATCAAAGTGAAGGCTGCCCTAAATCAAATGGTGTTTTAGTCTTTTACCTCTAAGGTTCGTATTTTAATATTTAGGGCTTTAGTCTTTGGATTTCCTACTGGATTAGAACTAGTTTCCTATTCTATTTTGGATTAGGATTTCTTTCCTATAATACGTTTACTTTCCTGTGTTCATTAGGTTTAAGGCTTTATAGATATGCCCTTGTAATTCAGATTAACAAACAATGAAGAGTTTGTGAATAGAAAAGCTTTGTTGTTTAGAGATTGGAATTCTAATCCTGCGATGGGATTATTTTGGTGAGAGGAGATTCAATCGTGCCTAAAAAGGAGATTCAAATTTTATTTGGAGAGAGGAAGGTTGTATGCCTCACTGTTTCCATCTCCATTTTGAGTATATTTGGTGTTGTAAATGGGAAGATGAAGATAATGGGATCCTGCCATCTTCGGAAACAAATTGAGAAGATGATGGGAAAACAATGTTAATTGAATAGAATATTTGAACAAATGGAATAGAATATTTAGAAACTTGAAAACAAAGGGTGTAGTTTTTGGGCCTGCCATATCTGGCGATAATGGTAATAATCTGGTGAAAGTAGAGATGCTAGCTTCATCCTCCCTTCCTCCTTCCCATTCACTTCACAAAATCAGAAATCGGTGACTGATCTGGGTTTCCTGAAAATTTGTGGCCCCAAAGTAAATGATGTAAAGTCTGCTTAGGTTTATCCGACCAAAATCACAGGAAATAATATCACTGGTTTTCTCTTTATTCTGAAGTTTATGCTTCTATTGTAATTCTTCTGACCTCTACACTTGAGTTCTGTTGTAACAGTTCTGGTTCTAACAGCCTTTGATTTTTATTTTGACCTCTTCTTTTGAAATTTCAGAGATTTTGATAATTGGCTGTGGAAGGTACATTGAACCTGTAAGTCCTGAACTACAACGCTTCATCCGGTCTACTGGAATGAAACTAGAAGCCATTGACACGGTATAGTTCATTGTAGCTTCTACTTCTTTTCTTTTTGACTTGATTTCTTTCGTGCACGTTATGTTTGCAATGGTGACAGTGTTTGGATTTATCTGACAAATATCTGTGTGTCATAGTTTTGTAAGCAAAGCCGATATCAAGATAGAATCCTAAAAGGAAGTGATTTTCATACACCTTTTTTAGCTTCTCACACACCCCTCTTTATTTTTGAACATCGGATTGAATAAATCAAGAACAACGCACAAAATTAAACAGGGGTATATGTGAGAGGATAAAAAAGGCATGTGTTTATCATTTCCCTTCCTAAAATACCAAGGATTCGATTTTGAAATTAAGAAGAGTTACTAATGAACAAAATGAACATTGAGAACTGAAGAGAAGTTGTGTGATTGATTCTGCCATGTCCAACAGCCGTACTGGTACTGTTATTAGCAAGAGTAGCAGTGGATCCTTAACCTTGTGTATAGAAGAGAGCAATTAAATCAACCAAACTTGCAACATTTCCGGAACGAGAATGAACAAAAATGGTATTTTTGCCGCATTTCTTCTAATTTTGGCACTTCCTCTTCGGATTGGTGCCTGTATACGAATGCATTTTGTTTCTAGTACTGGAAAACCCACAAAACTGATGCGGTAAATCGTGCACAAGTTGAATGGACTTGATAACAATTGTTGATTCTGCTACAGAGCTAATAATATGGTCTTGTTTTGTTTCAGAAAAATGCTGTATCGACCTACAACATACTCAATGAGGAAGGGAGGATTGTGGCTGCTGCACTTTTACCATACGGGATTTCCTCATGATCTGCAGACCGACTGCAGGATGCTGGCTTTCTGCATATTTTTCCTAACAGTCTCGACTACAATAACTAGCTTCCTGGTCATCAGCTTATTAGTATAATGTCGACTACAATAACTGCGGGATTGTGGTTGCTGCACTTTTACCGTACGGGAACTGTTATTAGCACTAAAAAAATCTCATTCTACGCTCTACAAGTGTAATTTTCTTTCTAATTATAGAAAGTTTGGAGTGTAAAATAAGATTTTTGGAGTGTTAATAACAATTCACTTCATAGAAATGTATACATTGAGAGGAAAAATGAGGACCACAAGTGCCAATAACAACACATTGTATTCTATATATATTTTTTACACATCAGACACAATGTTGACATTCATGATGTTAAGTGAGACATTTTGAGTTTCAGGAGGCAAATTAAGAATGAAATTGAGTTTCAGGGAGTGTTAGAGTAAATAAGCCGATTTCAAATACAACACTCCACATGACTCGAATTTTACACACGATGAAAGCATACAAACTAGTAAGATAAATGTATTTGTATTGGATCAAACCATTAGATAAGAGCATCTCCAATGAAGTAGGCAAATGAGTAATGAATTTGATGAGCCATGTAAGCAAAATCAAGCTCCAATTTGGTAAGCAGATGAGTAGCCAAACTTTGCATGCTTCCCTTAAACATACAACATTGCCTACTTCAACGTGTGTAGATAAATTGGACGCTACTTATCTATTTCTATTGATCCATCTTCTCTTCCTTCCACATCTCTTTTTCTCGAGAGATCTTTCAGTATGTCTAAAACACAATTACATATGGCATATGTTATTATATAATATGTCGAATTTTTTTCCAATTAATTATATTATGACATTTGGTGTATTCGACCGCGTTCCCAATAGATTGAAAAATCTCTCTTGTTTCTCCTCAAGGTAAGAATTTGTTCTGGCCCTTTTGGGCATCGTTCGTTGCAACTAGTTTGTTCTGGGGAGTCTTGGTTTATTTAAACTGGATCATTGGGAACCTCACGCATAAGCTAGGGTTAAAAGCTTTGCTAGCAACCCTAGCATCATATCATGTTTCTAATAATATTTATTTTTGTTAGCATCCTTCCAACTTTTGGAAGAAAACTGCTTTGAATATGATCATGTGTTTCTTCTATGTTTTCAGATTTTGCAAGCCAAAGACCTATACTAAATAATAAAAAAAAAAAAAAAATCAATAGTTATCAATTTAAACTGAATGAAAATATAATATATTGAGGCATCAACAAAGTAGCACGGTAGTTGGCAAAATTTGGAGAAAAGAATTATGTGAGTTACCATATAGGTGAAAAATGTAGAGAAAGACAACAAAGATAAAAAAGAGAAAAACAACAAAGATAAAAAAGAGAAAAACGAAAATAATAAAATAATTTTTGCCTACTTGGTTTGCTTATTTGATTAGAGTGTCACATTTTTTTTTTCATTCGGTAATTCAGTGGTAGAAATGTTAAGGAGATTTTCTTAAAAGTAAGACTTTTTGCCTCCTCATGTTTTTGGCGTAGTGTTTTATAATATTGACACGAGAATTGATATTAAACTGTAAGATGACAGAGAGTTCATAAAAAGTTCCATTTTAAAAGAGTCTCCTCAACATGAGCAATGTACACTTATCACATATTTACATCATCTATTTAATGGAGATAGAGCCCACTAATACATATGAGCTCATTTCTATTAGAAAAATGATACAAATATATTGTAAGAGTAATATTTTTTTCCCTAATATTTCTCAATTGAGTAGACAATTTACCGGATCAATCCTTTTAAAAATATTTTTTTTATTGTATTTGCCTACTCCATTAGAGATGATTTAATAATTTACATTGGAGATAAAAAAGAACAAAAATTAGAAACCACATGTCTTTATACCTTTCCCAAGACACAAAGCAGAAATGAAGACATAATTTGACGGGAAAGGTTCGAATATTGAGAACAAATTATATGCCGCCACGTAAAAGGTGATGTTTACTACACTCCCACCGGTGCTCCTGCTCCTCCTCTTCTTAAACAGACTTGCTGCTCATCACTTGCCCTGTATTTGCTTCAATGAACGAGGAAGAAGTGTCTCGCATGGTAAGCTTTCTCTTCATCAAACATATTTTTTTCTATCCATTTGTATATTTTTCTTTTTACATGCTACATTTTTATTGTTTATTATTTTTTTAATTTGTCAGATCATTGTTTTGTGGTGTGACACTTGATTAATCATAATTAATCATGTCATTTGATGCTCTTTGGCTAATGCTATTTAGTATTTACAGTGGCAAGAAATTAAACTCATAAACTCTGAAAAATGTTAACGATCTTCCTACAAATTCTTGTTTGAATTGAATTATAGAAAGCTTGCACGCACCATTCTTATTTTTCAAATAAAATTAAAATTAAAAAATAAATGAAAATTCTGTTTCTCTGAAGGCCTTTAATTATTTATTTGTTTGATGTTCAATTAGTTTTCTTCTTTTGTGTTATTGCAAGATCAACGTTTTGTATCGAAAAAAGGCATGTACTTTTGAAGAGCTTTCCGAATATAATAATATGGTTTTGGGGGGGAAATGCTTGGATCGGTCGTGTCCGTTCATGCTTGCAAGATCCACAAAGCATGGACGATCCCGTGCATGACTGATCCTAGCACCCTCTAAAGATTGAGTGCATGTGTAGTTGCAGTTTGACTAAATGATATCCCTTCAGTTTCTGTGCTTTGATTGTATTCTCCTATGAATGGAATGGCTTTTGTTACGTTGTGGTGAGAGTTGTCCTACATTGGTGAGGGACAAGGTTTGCTATGTGTTTATATGATCTTGGGTTACTTTCCATATTACCAATTGGTTTTATGGTGCAACCTCACTTTCACCATGGTATCAGAGCAAGGTTGTCCACGTGTGAAGCCCAACAGCTACACAAGTTCCACGTCACCCAGTTGTTCACGTGTAGGCTGGAAAATCCGTCACCACATTGGTGAGGGACAAGGTTTACTATGTATTTATATGATTGGTTTTATGGTGGAACCTTACTTTCATCACGTTGAACATCCCGAATATAGTGTGATAATTGTAGTTTGTTCAGCTATTTACTGATCACGGTGTTCAAATCAAAGCGTGAAGGCACAGATCCTTTATCTGAGAATGCGGAGGGGCACCCTGAAGGTTTGCAGTTGGAGATAATGAACCAGAACCAAGAAAATCCAGACCCTCTGATGGAGAAAACAACCAAAACTTGTTTAAGGAAGAAAACAAAGTACAATTGTACTGTTGTTAGGCGATCCTTGCGTTTCCAAAATGGTATTCTGCCTGTTGGAAACGAGAATACAGAACCTGTGCTTGAAGATACAACCGCTGGCGAAAGTGGAAGTGCAGAAGAACAACCTGCCCATAAAATGCACGGGTCAACCTCAAGCGAGAAAAGCTTGGAAGAAAAAGTTGACTATATTATGCAACTTTTGGAAGCAAGGAACTCAAAGGTACTCAATCTATTCACAGTTCACCCCTCCATGGAGATAATTAGCATTTTTGTGTTTAGTTATATCTATTTAGCTGTATTATTTCATTGTAGCCCTTTTTGTTCTCTTATCGGTGTTGCAAAATCAGGCAGGGGGTAAAGACTCATCCTTCTGTGAAAACCCAGAGTTGATGTACAAAAGATCATATGCAGATTCCCAAAAGGTTATTCTCATAAATATATTTACTATCTTCCTTTTGTTTGTGGAATCTGCAACGATTATATCCCTTCCTTTTATTTTCAGATTGAGGCTTTAGCAAACGAAAACCATAAGCTATCGATGAAGTTGGAAATTGCTCTTGCCAAACTTGAGGCAGTACGTCAATTATTTTTGCTACGTTGACTTGTATCAATGAGAATACTTTTGCTATGTTCTTTGCATTTTTTGCTTGAGAAGTGGAGTGATCTGATATATTGCATGCTTTGGTTGGTTGTAGTACGAGAGCAGGACTCATGCATTTTCTGAAATGGCGGAGAAATTGAAGGATGTGATTGTAGTTTCAAATTTGTCAAAAGTTACAGAAACTGCAGTTAATCTGTCATCTCAGACTACACATGGAGCTCCTGTGCCACAGGAGGAGTTTCTTTCGCATTTCCTTAACCGGAAAAGGCCGATTGCTCAGTCACCCAAAGCTGCAGCAAAGAGAAAGAAACAAGAGAAGAAAGCAAATCGAAGGTACTGTTGAAGTTCACCAGTTAATCTGACCTAGTTTTGCCAGTCTTTTGTATAAAGGGGAAACATGTTGGAAATTGAAACTTCGCTTTATTATGTTAGACTTATATGTGTATGTTTAGCTTCTGCATAACAGACTTCAATGTCAATGTGTGTTCTGTTCATTCGAAGCCTGACCATGTAAAATGTTTAGATATTCCTCATGTAATCACATATTGTTTCGTAGTTTCTCCAGCAATCGCTATTGTACGATTCTCGATGCCAAGTATGCAACAAAAGAAGCAATTTATCTGTGATTTGGTAGAAGTAGGCAACACATGAGGCAATTTTCCTCTCCTTTCTAATAATGTATCTCCTTTTTCTTCAACCTTTTCTGCAAGCTGGACTTTGTTGATTTAATTTAGACCTTCATTGTATGCTGGCATTCTTACTATAATCTGTCAAGTATTGCTAGATGTTGAGTATCCTGTGTTTTCTTCTACACGCTGAGAGTCCTACTGAAGTTTTCCAGTTACTCGGCGTTCATCATGTTGGTTTGAAGCAGACCGTGGTTTTATGTAACGTTTAGATGTTCCTGAGATCACCTATGTTTAGTAATTCCATACGTCGTTAGTAGCTAGATTTCTTCTACTATGTTGTCACTCATCAAACTGAATATATTATGTGATAAACAAAAGCTGTTACAAGTTAATCCAATCCGAAATGAAACTCTTTGCGAAACCAGCATTCGGTATTGTAAATTTGCTTTCATGAGTCCCTGAATTTAGGATTCAAACTGTGGGTTGGTAGACCTGAATGATGGATTTCTTTAGGCGCCTGTGGAAAATGGGGGTGAAATTCAAATAGTGACACAAATTATAAAACAAAGTAAAATTAACGTTTAATTTGATTGCTAATGTAACACCAAAATCCAGAATCTACGCAGGATAAAACTTCCGCTCTCTATAAACATTTTTTTGAATTAATAACTTTTCCGTCATCTGATATTTACCTGTAAAATTTTGGATTTTGCAGCAGAATTTTTTGTTCTTCATTTCATGAGTTCACATCAAATTAAACCAATAAAATATGCCACACTTTTTAATTTAAAAGAGAAAAAAATTGCGTGTTGATAATTACAAGACGGTCGAGTTTCTCTTTTTTGTTTGCAGAAATTAAAAATATATGTAATTGTCTGGCATGTTCAAAGCATTGAAGCCCCCAGCAAGAAGAAGACAAAGCCAGATATACAAATTTGGAGCAAGATGCTGAAGCATTTCTCACATTGGTCATACTAGCCTTTGTGTATGTGCTCGCGCGCGTGCTAAAGATATTTTCTGAATTACAGCATGCTAGACGTGGCTTACATGTTTTAAATGTATTTATATGCGTAAATTGACAGAAGGAAAGTCAAATCTTTAAAGTAAATGAATAATCTTAGATTATGCTTGAAGAAATCCCTCATAAACCAATTAAAGCAGCTGAATTCGCATAATTAAATCGGTCTCTATAAAATTTACATTAAGAATAGATAAAATAATATTTAATAAACAATTGATTGAATCATATTATTGCTAACTCATTGTGAGCTTAAGTCCACCCCATCCCCCTTAGACCATATCCAACAATGGGCTAAATGCCAAATTCCTTCCTATTCTTCCCCCCTCCCCAAACCCACTCCAACCCAAGCCAAATCTTTGGGCTAAAAGTCAAATGCCAAAACTGGGCCAAATCCCCCCTATGCGAGTGGACTTGCGGGCAGTTGGGCCAGTCTCGGCCCGGTCACTCTCCAACGCGCCCACGCAATGGGCTTGCAAACATTGCCCAACAGGGGTGGGCCCCTCTGTCATAGGCTATCGGCCACCCAAAAAAACCGCAACGGCTCTATTTTCAAATTTAATTTTTTTAGAATATGTTATTTTAAAGGGTAAATTACACTTTCATACCTCAGGTTTGGGGTCTATTTCAATTCCTTATAACATCTTCAAAACATTTCACTTTCATACCTTAAGTACTATTTTATTTCAAAATAATACATCCGTTACATTTTTCATCCATTGATCTGTTAAATTCTGACATGGCTGCCACATATATGCCAAGTGGCTGCCAAATGTCTACCACGTGGCAAATTTTTTTTTTTTTTAATTTTTTTAATAAACCTAAATCTTCTAAATATTATAAATTAAAAAATTAAGATAAAATAAAAAAAAACCCCCTTCAGTTCGTCTTCCCCTCTCTTCTCCCCCATCTTCATCTTCTTCCCCTAACCCCTTACCTGCAACACAGAGAAAAAAAAAAAAAAAAAAAAAAACTGAAACCTTATCCCCCTCATCCTCCTCTCTTCTCCCCGCAACCCCCAATCCCATCTCCCCATCTTCATCTTCTTCCCTGCAATCCAGGAAAAAAAAAAAAAAAAAACCCCTGAAGTTCGTCTTCCCCCCCTCTTCCTCTCTATTCTCCCCTATCTTCATCTTCTTCCCCCAACCCCCTACCTCCAACCTCCTCTTTTCTCCCCTCAACCCCCAAACCCATCTCCCCATCTTCATCTTCTTCCCTGCAACCCATAAAGAAAAAAAAAAATAAAAAATAATAAATAATAAATAAACCCTTCAGTTCGTCTTCCCCCCGGCCCCCCCCCCCCAAAAAAAAAAATCTTCCCCTCTCTTCTCCCCTATCTTCATCTTCACCCCCCGACCCCCTACCTGCAACCCAGAAGAAAAAAAAAAAAAAAAAAAACCCAGATCCTATCTCGCCATTGCCGGGTTCGTGGAATGGGTGTGGATTTAAGGAGTGGGGGGTGTGTAGAGAAGGGAAGAGGGTTGGTGCGAAGGTGGGTGCGGAGGGAGGGAAGGTCACGGGTTGGGGGGGTGCGAGAGAGGGCACGCCCTGCCGGGACTCGGGAGCTATACGGATATTGCGGAGACGACGAGGAAGGACGGGTTCGAGGTGGTGAAGGAGAAAGATCTGGCCAAGCCGCCGACACAACCGTGGTGGAATCAATTGAAGATGGAGAGGATCGCATACTGGCGCAACCACATTTTGGTGACAGTGCTCGCCGCCGTCGGAATTGCATTGAAATGAATCGTGGATGTGCACGAGATGCTGTTCAAAACCGTCGACTTTTTGACCAATGATGGGGTCACGTAGGTGTTGGGGGGTTGATGGGGTGTTTATTTTAGTTTTATTTTTTATTTAGAAGATTTAGGTTTAAAAAAAAATTAAATTTCTTTTTTGCCATGTGGCATAAATGTGGCAACCACGTCAGCATTTAACAGATCAATGGATGGAAAATATAACGGAGGTATTATTTTGAAATAAAATAGTACTTAAGGTATGAAAGTGAAATGTTTTGAAGATGTTGTAAGGAATTGAAATAGACCCCAAACCTAAGGTATGAAAGTGTAATTTACCCTATTTTAAAATACATTGAATCCAACAGTTGAGATCGAATATAATCAAATCTAACGGTAAAAAAAAGAAGATCTAACGGCCCAAATTTATATTCAACAGCTAAAATAATTAAAAAAAAATTATTTAACTCAAAATTCACCCAAAAACTGTATAAATACCTATGTATTTGTTCAAACATCCACACAAAACTCAATTTTCTTGTATAATTCTTCCAATTTATCTTTCTACCATTTCTTTCCATTTCCAAATTGTTCAACATGGCAAGAGAGCATATTAGAGGTCGTAATCGGACATGTGAGGAAGATGTTGCTTTATGCTGGGCATGGGTTTTTGTTAGCGAAGATGGTGTGGTTGGCACAAATCAAAATAAGAAAGTTTTGTGGGATAAAATCATTGCAAAGTTTCAAGAAAATTGTATTGGCAGCGGAACGGTTGGTGAATTGAAAGTTGAAGGCTTGCTTTGTGGAAAATTAGTGATTTTTCAATATTTATCGGAATTTAAATATTTTTAGATTAAAATGTTCATAAAATTAATTTACGATAGTCTACATATTTATTTAAAAAAAATTAATTTAAGGAAAAAAATAGCATAAGTTCATTCTTTAATAATCCTATGCTAAAATTTTAGGTCAGAACGGTTGGAGCAGAAAAACTATTTTTGAGCTAAAAAATTTGGTTTTTAGCCCAACTATTGGAGATGATTTTAGTTTAGATAATATTGTTTGTTAAAAAAAAAAAATCATTTGACAACTAATTTAATCACATTATTATCAGCGTGTGAAAGACATTTTTTTATAACCGGCTTTATACTCCGCTCAAGATGTTTTGAATGTGTTTAAAAATAGAGAAAATAATATTGAATAAACAACTTATTGAATCACATTATTGTTATCCCATTGTGAGGCTAAGCCCACCCCATCTCCCTTAGTGTATATAATATTGTTTGTGAAAAAGAATAACAATCATTTGATAACTAATTTAATCACATTATTATCCGCGTGCGAAATACATTTTTTATAACCGCCATTACACGCATCTTAAGATGTTTTGAATGTTTTTAAAAAATAAAGAAAATAATATTCAATAAGCAACTGATCGAATCACATTATTGTTCACCCATTGTGAGGCTAAACCCATCCAAATCATTTGACAACTAATTTAATCACATCATTATCTGCGTGCGAAAGACATTTTTTTTTTATAACCGACATTACACGCCTCTTAACATCTTGAACGTGTTTAAAATAGAGCAAATAATATTTAATAAACAACTGATTGAATCATATTATTTCTAGCCCATTGTGAGGGTAAGCCCAACCCCCTCCCCCTTCCCCTTAGTGTATATAATATTGTTTGTTAAAAAAAAAAACAATAATTTGACAACTAATTTAATCACATTATTATCCGCATGTAAATGTCATTTTTTATAACTTGCATTACACGCCTTTTAAAATGTTTTGAACATGTTTAAAAATAGAGAAATTTGAATTACATTATTGCTGGCCTATTGTGAGGTACTAATTAAAAAAAACAAAAAAACCACAAAAAAATTAATTATTAAAAAAATACTATTAAAATGACGAAAATACCCTTGTCTTATTTGATGCATTATTTTGGAATGCCCTTGAAGTTTTTTGTCTTGGGGGCATTTTTGTTGAAGCATGGTGACACCAAAACACTATTCACCTCTTCCATTCTCTTTATATATAATAGATAATATTTTAGAGAGACTGGTCAACCGTTAATTGCTAATCACACTGATACTGACATTGTCTCATAATTTGCATTTTACCACCAATGCAATTAGGAAAGAGGGCTCGAATATAGAACATCTGATGCAAAGGTAAATACTTTTAACAAACTGAGTTATAAGTCACTGCAATAGGTTCAGGTTTCATACAAGGGCCTTGATGAAATTAACTGTAGAACTATTCAATAAAAGGGGAAATTTAACTTGATGAGATTTCCGATGCGATACCCTTCAGCACAAACGACCACTACCATTTTATTTGCTATTTGAGTCCTAGACTCATAGTATATTCTATATCCGGCTGAGGCATGTTTTATTTGACCCTCAAAATATTGTTCATCACGCCATGAAAATATCGTTTTCCTTCGTTAAATTCATGGAAAACTCTTAGGAAGTTCCATCAAAAAATCCCAAACGCAAACTCCAATTCTGGCAATCCTTATAATGTCATCCGACACAAAACAAATGAAGTTGCAGACGCAACTCTGCAGCACAATGCCAAGCCCTTCAATAATCTCCCGCTCTTCGTCCTACCCGCAGTTCACAAAGACATGGTCTTCGCTGTACACTTTCCCGGAAAACCTCCCTCCGGCCAACCACTCTGCATGCTCAGCTCCAGCATCGAAGTTAACTTCTGCCAAGCTCTCCTTGGGCACGAAGATCAGAAAACTCATGGGGCGGAGGGGGAATTCGAACTTGACAGAGCAAAGCCTCCAGGCTCACAATAACGCGCACGTTGAGGGAGATGTGATCAAGCTTCACAAGAGAGTAGAGCAAGTTAGTCTTCAAGACTATTATAAAGCTGAGCAGGAGAGAAGCTCAAAGTATAGTCCCTATTACATTAGGGGACTCACGTACCCGGCCTTCGTTGTCCCTAAGCATCCAAGTAGTACTCCCGGGCGCGAAAGCCATACTTCTCATCGTTCTTGGACCTCATTCTCCACCTTCTTTTCGGGGTTCAAAATGCGAGAGTGGAGCTCTTGCATTGGTTCGAAAAGAGAGGATTACAACAAACTTAGGCCGGAAATGTACACTGCGATAAAACCCCCCAAACCACCTGTAATTAACTCCTCATCATCGACAGTTACAGAGATTTCTTTGGTGGAGAGCAAAGAGAGGAAGGAGGTTGGGAGGAGTAGCAATGAATCTAACAAAAAGAAGCCCTTGAGAGAGAGAGTGAGAACAGAAGCAGCAACAGCTGCTGCTTCGGCTACGCCGAGAAATGATCAAATTAAGGTGACGAGTGTCGCTGAAAAGGAGTATGCGTGGGCAGACAAGTACCAGCCTCTGTGCTTAGAAGATTTCATATGCAATAGAGACAAAGCAATTCAACTGCAGGCTTTGGTATGCATAAACAACACACGCCAATCGCTCTTACTTATTATATTTCTTTGCTGTTTGTGATGAATTTGTGCATTGAAATAAAAAATACAGGCCAAACAAGGAGGATGTGGACATTTCATATTTGAAGGACCGCCGGGAGTGGGGAAGAGAACGATGATCTGGGCTATGCTTCGAGAGGCTTTTGGACGCGACACAATAAATGTATGTAGACATGATTCACTATATTTCTCTTTGCTTATTTGTAGCTTTTATTCTTCTCAATCTTTTAATGCTTCTTTGAAATATATTATCAGGCCACGGAAGAGTCCAAGGCATTCAAACTCAAGGTAATTTACTTATCCTCAATATTTACTTAATCAATTAATTTCACCAACATTTATATTAGTACATACAGCATTCCTGTGTGGATTGAGGGGTCCATAATCACAAACGACCATTAGTCTGTAGTTAATCACTCTTATTTTGATAGGATTTTTAGTACCTACACAAATAGGATTAAAATTACTTAAAATACTTGCAAGAGTACAAAGTAATTGCGGTATAATCGCTCATGCAAGGTCGTTCACCACAAGAATTGAATGAATAATTTGTAATTAAACTAACTCTTGATTAATTATTTAAAACCTATTTTGGCAAAGGTTAGAGATTTTGAAATTTAAAAGTTTAAAATAACAGTGAAATGAAAATGGAAATTTGGGAAAAACAATAGCAAAGAAGGAAAAACGTATTTTAGAATAAAACAATTATGGGAAAGACTATGGTTTAGCTGTAACCATTAACCACCCTATGCAATTTTACCAATTACTTATGAATTTCCACATACACGCTTTGAAGGTTAGGTTTTCTTAATACATATTTTCCTCGTGATGTTCAAGTGAAAACGTATATCTAACATGCAACCTGTCTATGATGTTCAAATCAAATATAAAGATGCAAAACTCATTAAGCTTTGTTAAAACTCTTTGAAAAACCATGCAATCTTTAAGAGTACAATTATCAATCACAAAAAGCCCTCCTCAATTTCAGGTACAATTATCAATCACAAGAAACCCTCCTCAATTTCAGGGTACAATAAGCACTCCTCAATTTCAGGGCGATGTTCTAACATAAATTGCATTAAATTACTTGTCTAATTACCATAATGGTAGCTAAGCACTAAGACAATTAAATAGATTAAACTCAATGATTAATAATTCAAAGCAAGTATGCATCCATTTAGAAGCAAATTAATAAAATCACAATTTCATGCTAAGACTCATGACATCGCCCTAACAAAAGGAATTAGTTAGTTATACTCATAATAAAAACCAAAGAAAAGATCATTAACTAGAAAAATGATTGAAAACACCTTGTAGATAAAAATTTGAAATTCGCTAGGAGTTTGCCAAGTTCTCTCAATGTCACGTAGAAAATCTAATGGTAAAATAGCCTTATTTATACTTCTACAAATTAAAATTCTTTCTAGAAAAGGTCTTCTAAAAACTAAGAACAAAATAATAAAAAGATAAGTTAGAATCACAATCTAAATCAAGGTAGGAAATCTACCCAGCTGAGAAATCTCCACGTTTATGGACTTTCAGGGCTCTAAATTAAGCCCAAAACGACTTGAATTAAAGCTTAGGACGTCCTTTTCAAAATCCAAGAAGATCCAAGTCCAAAATCCATAATCTTCCAGCCCAAAATTCCCAAATAAGCCTTGTAACACAATCTGCTAGCACTGCACGCTGGTCTTTTATTTATTCGCAATAAATAAACTGCTTTGTAAAAAAATCTGAAATTTTGACACGAAAAATTTGAGAGATTCACGAATATCTCCAACTGAAATCATTCCAAAATTCGTCCGTTTGATCACTGTTTGCTCAAGAGAAATCTAATGTCCTACATTGAAAATATAGCACAAAGTATCCACATATCACCAAAATAATTGCCAAAATGTACTGAGAATAGAAGAAAATATATAGTATGAAATCGACTCATCAATTACTCCACAGTTGTGATCTTCCTATATATGAAATATCCATGCTGAATGATATAACAAACATCGACCTTTAGTTTACTCGATTTTCTTGTTTTTATCTTTCTTCTCAAAGGGGGAAATGTTAGGTAGCATAGAAGTACATGTAAAGCAATCCCCACAACATGTGGAAGTGAATCTCTCTGAACTGAAGGGCTACGAGAAGCATGTCATTGTGGAACTCATGAGAGAGACACAGGACAATATGCTGAACAAGTCTGTGCCATGCAGCCTTGACAACTGCCGAGGTATATATATGTGGATTAAAAACAGTACAAATTTATTTACTTCTTAAACTAAGCTGAATAAATAAGTGCATGAATAACGCTGTTGCCTATTTATATATATTTTTCTGTAGCAATAATCTTATACGAGGCGGACAAGCTGTCGACCGATGCCCTACTGTATATAAAGTGGCTTTTAGAAAGGTATAAAGGGTGTAATAAGGTCTTCTTCTGCTGCTCTGATATCTCAAAGCTTCAGGCAATCAAATCGCTTTGCACCATCGTTGAGCTTTTACCTCCTTCCAAGAATGAGGTGGGGAACTAGTAGATCGTAACAAGGGGTACATACCAGTGTTGGATGAATTTAATAAGTTTCATTTTGTTGTTTTTGAAAGCGTTTGATCATGCAGTTTACTTTCTGCATTTTCAGATTGTTGAAGTTTTAAAATTCATATCTAAAAAAGAAGGCATAGATTTGCCAGATGAACTGGCTGAAAGGTTTGCCCAAAATTCGAGTAATAGTCTCCGTCAAGCCATTCGTTCATTCGAGGCTACTTGGAAGAAAAGGTATTAACAAGGGAAAAAATAGTTTCCGTTGCTAAATGTTTTTGTCACTCATATTAATTTATGTGTTTTTGGTGAATGTTGTATATGCAGCTATCCTTTTAAAGAAGATCAAGTAATTCTGACTGGTTGGGAAGATAACATTGCAGATATTGCCAAGAATATGATTGAAGAGCAAAGCCCAAAACAGTATGCTCCTTTGAACAAATTAATATGTAGTAAGAGTACACTATACAATATATGTACCACGGAAAACCATGTTCGCCTTGTTCTCAAATTTCCAAGGTATATATTATTGTATGAGCCGGTTTTATATAACCTGCCCCTCACAGTACGTAGTGAATCTCACATCTGTGTTGTGAGATGGAGGTACAAAATTTGTGTTAGCCCAATTCAACTGTAATTTAGAATACATTAGAATTAAGATAAAATTTGCAACTTCACCAACTTGAAATTTGAGAAATGTTCTGTATCTTTTGGCAGGCTGTATATAGTCCGCGGAAAGCTTCAAAATCTTATAGTTCATTCTGTTTGTCCGGAATTCATTTTCAAAGTAAGCACACTGTTGCCCTTATATTAGATGTCTCTAATTGAAGTAACGTTACTATAAAGCAAATTTGTTCTAATCTTTATGCAGTCCCTAGTAGCACAGCTGAAGAAGTACGTGGACGACAGCCTGCAGGATCGAGTTGAGAGCATGTACGACGAATACAACGTATGAAACTTAAGAAACTTACAGGCCAAATTGTTTTAATAGGTGTTAAATAATGAACTACTAATGTCACCAAAATATGTTAATTCTCTTGAATCATGCAGAGGAACGACGAAAATATGTTTGAGAGTGGCAAAGCACTGGCACCCGGTCGGCACGATCATGAGGAAACCGGTAAAAGGCTCACTGATCAGTCCAGAAAGCATATTCAGCAGTTCTTGAGAATTGAAGGTAAAACAACTGTTCGAAAATTAATGTATTCTAATGAACTGGCTTGATTTGTGTTGTATATGTAAATGCACAGAAATATTTGTCTTGTCGTACTGTGTGGCAGCATAAGATGCTTATATTACTAGACTGTGAATCTGGATGATTGATTGAGCTGATTCTTATATGAATGTGCAGTTCAGATTCACAGTCTAACAACATAAATCTGGCAAGAGAACATTGCCCCTATAAGCGCATTATGCGTATAAAACACAAGCATTGCAATTTCCATCACTATTTGCAATCTAAAGATTTTCCACTTCTTATAGATAACATAAGTTTATTTTCATTCTCTCCCAGAGTTTATAGCTAAGTTCATGAGCTGCTACAAGGGTTGCACGTATACCAGGTCTTTGCCTGTTGGCGATCCAACATAAGAAGGCTTCTTATCGGTCAGCCAAACTCCTCCTGAAGGAATTACACACCCTAGAATTTCCTTTGGGGGATCTTTTTTCTTGTTATATATGATCTTAGTACTGCTGGTGCAGCAGTAGCTGGAAACCATTGGCTTCCTTGTAAACTATTTTGCTGATCGGTTTTCTTGTAAACTTAAGATCTTGGCTTAAACTACTCACTTATGGAGTAGTGTGGAAAATAATAAGGTGTGATATGACAAACCTGTTTGTCAATAACATTTTGATGGTAAAAATATTTTATTAAGCAGTGCATATTATTACAAGGTAAAAGTTAAGGCTAAGAAGGAATGTTGTAAAGCCTTATATATACAAAACTATGAAAGGTATAAAATAGCGAAGAACGTGGCGAAGAAAGCCGTGAGAGAAGCGAAGCCAGCAGGTTTTTTGACGATATGTATAAGCAGTTGGATACCAAAGAAGGAGAGTTGGATATCTATGTATAAACTAGCTAGAGCTAGAGAAAGGAAGACGTTCAGGAGATTGAACCAAGTAAGGTGCATCAAGAATGAGAATGCAAATGTTCTAGCTACAGAGAACGCGGTTAAAGATAGACGGAGAGGGTATTTTTCGTAATCTTCTCAATAAAGGACACAAAAGATGTACTTCTTTGGGAGAGTTGAGCAACTCAAAAGAGTGTAGAAATTACTTGTTCTACCGCCAAATTAGGAAGGAAGAAGTGGTTGTAACTTTGAAAAAGATGAAGCATAAAAGCAGTGGGCCCAGATGATATACCAATCGAAGTGTGGAATGTCTTGGGAGAGATAGGTATAACATGACTCACAAACCTTTTCAATAAGATTTTGAAAACGAAGAAGATGCCAAATGAGTGGCGAAAATGCACTTTGGTGCCTATCTACAAGAAAAAGGGTGACGTACAAAATTGCATGAACTATAGGGGTATTAAGTTAATGAGTCATACAATGAAGCTCTGTGAGAGAGTAATTGAGCATAGACTCAGGCAAGATACATGAGTCTCAAACAATCCATTTGGATTCATGTCAGGGTGCTCAACCACAGAGGCAATCTATCTCTTACAAAGATCAATGGAAATATATAGTGATATGAAAAAGGATTTGCACATGATCTTTATTGATCTGGAAAAAAGCGTATGATAGGGTCCTAAGAGATACTCTTTGGAGGATTTTAGAGAAGAAATGAGTACGAGTAGTATATATCCAAACTATAAATGATATGTATGATGGAGTAAGGATTGTTGTAAGAATTCGAGAAGGACAAACCGAAAGCTTTCCCTTAACTATGGGGTTACATCAAGGCTTTTTGCATTAGTAATAGATGAGTTGATGGGACATATCCAAGATGATATTCCTTGGTGTATACTTTTCTCAAACGATAAAGTGTTGATAGATGAAACTCAGGAGGGAGTAAATGCAAAGCTTAACCTTTGAGGGCAAGTATTGGAATCTAAAGGTCTTCACCTAAGTAGGTCAAAGATAGAATATATGGAGTGCAATTTCAGTGGGAACGGAGGTTCAAACAAGTTAGGGATGAAGATTGGAGATCAAGTACCAAAGAGCGAACCTCTTCGCTATCTTGGATCTATCTTGCAAGGAACAGAGAAATGGATGGAGACCATAATCATAGAATACAAGCTGGGTGGATGAAGTGGAATAGTGCATCGGGTATGTTGTGCAACCATCTTATGCCACTAAAGTTCAAGAAAAAATTTATAGAACGACAATAGGGCTAGCAATGCTTTATGGCATAGAATGTTGGGGTGAAACATCAACACGTACACAAAATGAGTGTAGCAGAGATGAGAATGCTTCGTTGGATGTGTGGGCACACGAGAGAGGACAAGATTGGGAACGAGGATATCCGAGATAAATTAAGAGTAGTCGAAATTAAAGATAAGATGAGAGAAAATCGGTTAAGGTGGTTTAGACATGTGAAACGAAGACCTACAAACACTTCACTTAGAAGATGTAATTACGAGACAGAGGCTCATGACCAATGGGGTAGAGGAAGACCTAAAAAGACTTGGAAAGAGACCTTAACAAAAGACTTGGACTACTTGAATCTAATGGAAGACATGACATAAAACTGAGCGCAGTGACGTTCTATGATTCATATAACCAACCCCACTTAGTCGGGTAAGGTTTTGTTGTTGTTTTAGTGTATATTATTACCAGCTAGATTAGATACATGATTTTTATTCTTTTCCTTTTCTAAGAGATAACTTATTTATTTATATATATAATTTATAGGCTCGAAATCCAAATTCTGCAACGTTTCGGGATGAGGATGAGGTTAGGTCCAGGACTCGAAACATTTTCATTGTAACAAAAGAAACAACACTAGATGGCATTGTGCCCTTAAATTTTATTGGGAAACAAGGAAATTGCAAAGCGTTAGTGAACTAAGTTAGCATGGTTCGTTTTCAAGAGGACAAACAAGACATCCTGCAACATAATTTTCTTTGGCCATGCATCAAGGATGATAGGGTTACACGTGATGAGAGGAAGTGCGTGTATTACTTGATGTCAAACACAATACTTGGCCAAACCATCGTGACGGAGAAATTCCAGCTCACTGTTATTTGGCAGTTCCAGAACAAATACCGACGTACAACATCGTAGCGACAGACATGGATACGAGAACAAGAAGAGTAGTCATAAGGGAAGTCGAATTTTCAACGCGTTTGGAGAACGTATTCATAATTGGTTTTACAAGGTATTGTACTCGAATGGCGACGTAAATTTTAAGATTCTGTATACTATAGAACCCAAACCAAATCAAAATTTGAATTGATTCGTATGCCTTACTGTACAAGGAATTGAGAATCAAATGATACAAAACTGCAGGATACCTTCTTGTGTATTATTGAACTGCTAATCTCTGGAGATGATCCAAGAAGACCTCAAAACTGACATCGTCGGTAAAGATCACATCCCCTCCCGGAAGTGGAGCTTCGTTGTTGTAGGTAGCAGAAGGATTCAACTTTGCCAAAAGAAAACGGGCCTGCGTAATTACATAAAGGAAGGGGGATCAGAGACAATTGTAATGCCACAGCATTTGTACCACAGAAAAACAGGATTTTTTTGTTTAACGCCCATACTACAAGACAGCACCAGATTACCTGAGAACCATGCTGATCGCAAATCACCAGGCGGGGTACTGGAAATCTTTCCTTGATAATTTGATCTCCATCGTCACGAGGAGCTTGTAACAATTGAGCAAATGCCTGGAAGCATAGATCTGCTTTAGAGGACTTGTAATGCTTTTGAAGTTTTTTAGCATTGAACCTTACACTTTTATCAGAATTAAAAGCAACAGAACACAATAAAACTGAATCTGGATAACTCGCAAACCATCATTTCATCGATTATAAACGAAAAACAGTCACCCAGCTAAAACTGAAACTAAGATTAACTATATATGGATGCAAGGACATTAAGAGAAACCACTGAACCACAAACAAAATTTTGAAGCCAATATAGGATTGGCGCCTATGCAAATATGAGTTACTTATGAGACTCAGTGAGGCAGATTAGTAGGTCCAGTTTTCCAAGATAGCCCAAAAATTTGATGGTCATGGATTTTTCACTTCTTTTACCGCAGAAAAGACGCAACAAAATATAGTATTTACTTACACATGAAGTAGTCATAAATCAAAGGCAGCAAAAAAATTGTTCCAAAGCAAAAGATATGGAAAATTCAACAACTGCATATACCAAAATAAGCGTGAGCTTATAGTGCTAATACTTATGCATATACAGATCAGTCTACTATCCGAAGGCAGGACCAACTCTAACACAAGGGAGTAGCTTTAGTAACAAGTTGCAATGTTTTACTTTCTTTTCATCAAGTATAATACATTATATTAAATTAATCAGGAATCATGCAAAGAAACCAATGCATCTAATGTTTGATCTGCTGGATGTCTAGATGCAGCCCTCATTATATTTTATATCTGAATTTAGTCGTGAAGGAAATGATCTTTTAGATTCACTTGTTTCAGACTTGAAACAAGTCTAATGAAACATAGATCCAAGGCAAAGACAAGCTGTTCATATCAACTTCACTTTAACTTGAGGACTGCAAAAGATTACCTGATGTTCTGGCAGGTCCTGATACCCTGCTTTCCGCCATTGTGCAATAGTTGAACCATGAAAAATAACAACAGTAAAGTAGGCGTCTAAAAGCAGAATCCTGTCTGCTGCGATGGCAGCGACGTCAAGAAGTGCTGGTTCTGGGCCTGAATGAAATGAATATGAAATCAATGAAGGCTGAATCATCACAACTGAATTGGTAACATTTTCTCGGTTTAGGATCATTCTGAAGTACGCTGTTTCATCTGGGCTGTTGTTAAAAACCTGCAACACAAGTTCAAGTGACGTTAATCACAAGATCTATATACAATAGCATAACAATGATAAGAACAGTGCTGAAACTAGAAGTAATGTGAAAGACAGAAGTTTATACCTGGACAAATTGAGAACGTCGTAAATGAAACATAAATTGAGGGAAGATTGAAAACCGTGGAGATAAGCTGAAAGAAGAGGGACTGTCCTTTTGGTAATCTCCAAACCGAGAACACATGTGTATCAGTGATTTATCCAACCATCTTATAGGGTCAAACTCTGCCTGGATATTTCATGAAATGACACAAGATTAGTGAAGAGTTCAGTCATATCTTCACAAAAACAATACACACAAACATGTTATAAAACATCAAGTGTGCTGAAAATCACTTCTCGTGAAAGCAACCCAAACATAGTAACTAAAAGGATATGATTCTTTTCCAATTTTATTACAACTAACATCCAAATACAAATAAAGTACTAAAAAGCAAGGTTGTATTTGGGCACTGATGCATGTCTCTGTTAATTCCTTTTGCCAGTCACCTTGTCGCACCAGTATTTGGAGCACAACTATTCAAAAGCTCAATGGAAAAGATTACACAAGGAAAATTATCATCTGATGTATGTGTTCTTTATATTTTCTTGCAGTATACTTTATATGAGAATGATTCTTCATACAGAGATGTGTAGATAATCCATATAGAGCAATTGGTTATATAAACTTCACAAAGAAAATTGACATCACCATAAGCCATCAGCGCAATAATCCACCACAATTAGGAATACAAAGTGATTAACTAAAAATTTCATAATTTTTACATCTTCCAGTGAGCAATTGGTTATATAAACTTCACAAAGAAAATTGACATCACCATAAGCCATCAGCGCAATAATCCACCACAATTAGGAATACAAAGTGATTAACTAAAAATTTCATAATTTTTACATCTTCCAGTGCAAGTTTTTGGACTTTATATTGAAACAACACTTTACCATTCAGCTATGACCCTTGAATTTAAAATAAAAATGATCCTGAAATTAACAGTGAAAATGTCTATGGTTCATTCCTGTCTTTTCTCAGAGTCAGCACCCCAATTCTCCAAATCTAGACCTTGTCAGCATGAGTGATCATTGCTTTTTTTCATTCACATGTACATGCACACGTACATGCAGCACAATATACTATAAGCTTTAACTATTAAATCGCTTTGTGAAACTTAAACATCTATTAATTAATAAATAATAGACAAATGAAAGATTTTCATTTTGAATGCCCTGTGGATTATCTTAAAATTAAAGAAACTCATTCAAAGAAGAATAGAGTGACAAATTGATGTATTCTTTATAGGACTTGGAACTCCATCTGTAGTTTCAACCTCCCCAGGATTTGACGGCAGACTTGAAAAACAACTTACACAAACTTTATTAAAAAAGGAAATACATTCTTACAAAAACATTCATCAAAATTCCTCAGCCCTGTAGGAGTTCTAAGAACATTTTGTCTCACTGGGTTTTCAGGTCCAGAGAGAAAACTGACAAGAAATGTGTTCTTCAACATTCAAATAAGCTCCTTTACCCATGTCCCATGTTTTCAAATTTTGTTCTTTTTCTAATATTAATACTTGTGCATATTCAGTTTCACCCTTGTTTTGTTTGTCTGGTGTGTGTGTGAGTTGCATATATGAGAGAAACAGATAAAGGAAGAATCACCATTTACAAAAGATAAAAATCTAATAAGAATTGGAATAAACAAATTTGGGATTCAAGACCTGAGATTGTAAAGCCTCATTTGTCATCTAGGATTGGCCTGGCTTGGACAATTCACTAGATTCAATGAATGTTGAACAAAAATATGGATACCATCTTGTATATTTGTCCAAGTGAAGGTAAAAGATGGAGAAATCATCAAGAAAACTTATCCCTCCTAATTCCCAAAAAAATGGTAGGACTGAGAGGGACAATGTCCATATTTTTATTCAACATTCATTGAATCTAGTTGACTATCCAAGCCAATCCTAGACAATAAATGATCCTGAAGTGTATAAAACCATGTAATAATAACAATTACCTCACTTTCCATTTTGAAGGAAACTAGGCGTGCCATGACTACAGCAGCTGCTTCTTGGTCAAACCCAGCAATCAACTCCTATAGTATACAACAGTAGCTTCAGATTGCAATTTAAAAGAAAACAATGGATACTTGAGGGAAGTAAAACCAAATTCATGAAGCTGAAATAACTAGTATGTAATCTATACAAAATAATACTTCCACTCATAATCATTAAAAAGTCAACAACCGATGCAATGAAACTAAGAAGCTAAAATGTGCAAATAGAGAGAGAGAGAGAGAGAGAGAGATAGCAAAATGGCCATCAGTTCAACCCCATAGTCTCTTCCAACCAGAATATGCTCAAACAAAAAAATTGCAAGTGGTTGTGGAGGTTCAGTGAAAGCAAAGTTTATGCTATGTAATCAAAAGCAGGTATCACCTATGAGATACAGGAAGGAATTCTACATGTATAAATATATAGCAAGAAATCAATATCTTGCAACAGTCACTATAAAGAAATACCTTCATATATCATATACTTATTAATTTATTAGAGATAGATGTATTAAATTAATCGTTTCTTTGCAACCAAAATAAATGATGCACCATATATTGAGGACATGCTGCACAGAAAAACTTGCCTGAACGCTACCAGGTCCGGCAACCCATCTTCTTGATAGGGTTGTAACACGAAGTCTCATTTGACCACTACTATGCTGATAACTGTAGCAAAATATCTATAATCAGTAAACATATTTCCTTCTATATTAGGCAAAACTAATATAACAACTCAAGAGTTTGTGAGCAAGGAGTTCATACTAAGTGAGAAACTGGAAGTAAAATTGATTGCTAGTGGGTTGAACAGTAGCATCTGGGATTTCCTTCTTAACAATTTCAAATATTAGACATAAAGATGTCGCTTTGTCAAGGCCACACATCTTCCATGCACTAGTGCTCCCCTGACCAACAACCGTGTCCGAGCACAGAGGACCTTTCTGCACAGGGTCACCAGTATAAAGATTTAGGAACATGACCAGCTAAAAAGAGAGATCATTGAAATACTGTTAATTATACCTTCTCAAGCGATGCACAAGGACCAATAATTCCCTGAACTTTGACATCCTTTGAGAAGTTTATCTCAAATATACCACTGCATCAAAATAAAAATAAATCAGAACCCAGTAAAGATTTGTCACAAGTTTAAACATCTGCTTCACAGACGCAGAAAATGACGAAATTTATGCAGTGTTATGTCCACTGCAGTTTGGTACAATATAAGGCCACTATTTTAAGGAGCAATATATAAAAGCTTACTGGAGTTAATGCAACATTATCAAGCATTTTGTTTTAACTCAAACTAATCCATTTGCTTTTCAGAGCAATTAAAACATTAAACCTTGCCACAAATAAAAGAAAAAACTAAAATGCAAAAGTAAATCTTATATTCCTAGGTTGTTGATCTGAAACTATGCTCAACAACAAAGCAACCACACTAGACCAGAAAGTACCAGACAAAATAGTATCTGTACCACTCTACTGATACATAAGCAGTGCAAATTATTAATAGTAAAACAAACTGCCAGTTTAAGGCAACTGCAAAAAATGTTTTTGGAATATGAAGGCCCCAATTGAGGTTGTAAAGAGTCCTAATATGCAGCCCCTGTTCTTTTGTATCACCGTGAGCTCTTCTTTCCACATAGCTCAGATATAGTGTTGCTCATATTCTGACTTTTAAACAAATGTTTTAAAAGGCGAAGGCGAAGCCACGGCATTTCATGAATAGCCCCACCTAGACGAAAGCCTTGAGGTGTGAGGCAGGACCTAAAATTATTAAGGTATAATATTATAATTATCTCCATTGTTATTCGCAAGTGCACAAGTCACAAACAAGTTTAACTCACAAACATACAAAAAAGATATCATTCATCTAAATCAAAGGTAATATCATCTTCTTCACTGCCAAGTCTACACTTAAAATTTAAAAAATAAATAAAAGGCCCAGTCGAACACCTCAAGCGCACCTCGACCACATCTAGGCGACTTTTAAGCCTATTCCCACTGGGCTGAGGCATTTTCATCATCACCCTGCCTCCAAAACCGCCTAGGCGCATCTTTAAGGCATGCTTTTTTAAAACACTGCTTTAAACTAAACCTTTTGTTCTTTCGACTAAAACTCTTTCTTTTCCGCAAATGAAATTTACTTACTTCCTATACATGTCAAGAAAGCCAAAGTATAATATAAACAAAAATATTGACATTCCAACAGTTACAAGCAAGCGAAAGTTTCTAAATCTACTGGGAAAGGTTCATGATGAAATATGAAAATAAACAGGTGCAATTTCCCACTCTGAGATTGACCAAAGAAACCGTACTTTGATGATAAACCAAGCTCATAATCACCCGACTGAAAAATGCGTCTGAGTGAGTCCTTAAACACCGAATGGCCAAAACTTTCAGCAAGCACAACTAGTCCTCCAGTTCTCTCAACAGCAATTTTAAGTTCTGCGATCCCCACCTGAAAGGGAAAATAGCATGCAAAAGAAACATGAAATAATTCTAAATGAACAAAAACCGCCAACAAATAAGACGCCTTGAATTTAATCTGTGAACCCCATAATCTGTGGAACCCCAGTGTACAAGCTCAAGAAGCTTAATAAATTATTTAACTTCAATTCTTTTGGGATCAGGACTAGTCTCCAACATATAGAATCCTTCCCCTTCATATCAATTAACAATAACATAATACCTACACCCTCCGAAAAGAAAATGTAACATAAATAGATTTGTAACAGGCACATTAAATGTCCGAAACCCAAAGATGACTATGGTTAGCAAGGACTAAAAAGAAAAAACATCTAGTAACACTGGTGGTTCTATCTTGTTCCTGAGAAAGGGTAGTAAACAGATAGACAACTTGGACAAATGAATGTCGCCATCATTCGTAAGTGGTAATGGAGATCCCTATTGGAAAGGATTCTCTTTGGCATGGTGTTCTTAAAAGAAAATAACGACTTCGTGGGACTCTAATATTATGGTTAAAGGGCCGAGTCAAGGACATTGGAAACATATTTCACAGGGTACGTTTCCCTTCTCCATTATCTCTGTGCCATGATGGGGAGTGTAGAAGATTAGTGAGACTGTTGGTAGGGGAGCCTCCTTTGTATGCATCCTATCCGCATCTTTACAGCCTATCTAACTCTCATAACATGTCAATGCAATATGTATGTTTCTTCTCTTTTCCAATAAGTTGGAAATTTCATTTTTGTAGAAATTTGAAAAACTTTGAGGTAAGCGAGCTTTAATCTTTACTCTTCTTCTATTAAAGTAGTTCATTACAAGTTGTTAAACCATTTCGAATATGTTGGAAATTGAACCATTGGGGCTTTTTGTGCAATTCTTCTTTTAGATTTGGTATGAATACATATATACAGAAATGTATGGACAGATTCAAGCTGAAGGGAAAGAAGCAAAGTACTTAGATATTCATCGCCACAAAACAGTAGAGACAACTTAAAAATCACCTGGTCAAGGGCACAAGCAAAAAGATCAAGAACATGTCCTTGGTTAACAAGCTGCTTTGATAGTCCTTCATAGAACTTCACGGCTTTATGGAAGTGTGGAGCAGAATCCTTATCCAGGTCCTTGTGAGAACGAATAGGCTCAGATAAGTTTTTTGACACAATCTACAAAAGATCACAAGCAGAAAAGTCAGTACAGTGTGATTTACTATAACAAATTAGTAATTAAAAAGGTAAAGTAGAATTGCCACCATGCTATCGTAAAAGAAACACTAAGCACTACATGGTTAAACTACATAATAATTACAATCTCAACCAGTTAAATTCAAAATTTGGAGGAAAATAATTAAAAATCAATAACCTTAGAAAACAAGGTATATATAGAAGAGGCATCCCAAATATAAATACATTGTCAACAGTCTAACTATCACATGGTACTATTAGACCATATCCACGAAAGAAAGGGGAGGGAGAGAGGTGAGCAGTTGGGAAACGGAGGTCAAGGCAGTTCCACTTATAGTCAAGCACAGAACATTCACAGGGCTAACTGCGAAAACAATCAGGACACCTTTAGCACCACTTTCATTGGTCTTGTATGTTGAGCAAAACAGCCAATTACACAAGCCAAAATGCCATAGAACACACATATTACTGAAAAAAACAACCATTTGCAAAAGCCAAAATGTCAGAACACACGTATTGCCAAAAAGGCATTACAAACCGCCAATGTTCAACTACTAAGCATTTGCCATTTCCCTTTTAGTTTATCTTTCATTCTCTAATGACTTTGCATCAAAGACCCCTTTAAGGAATGCAGTAACAAAAGTAACAACAATAAAGCACCCAAAAGTGGGAAAAGAAGAAAAAGAAAACAACGTGTGTAAAATATTCCCTTCTAATAAATTCCAGTGATCCCAAGTAGCAGGAAAGCTGCCTAAGAAGTTCCTTAGGAGGCAACCACAACCTTCCAACTACCAACCGGGGATAAAATCTCTACCTTACATGTTTCGGCAGACCTATCAATTCTTGCTAACAGCGATCTTTGTAGCAAAAACATTTTACTATCAATCAATGAGACCCTATATTTTTAAGTTTCAGTGCCAACAGAAAAATGGCTAAGAATCCTTACAGCACCCTGGCCTTCTGTAGACGGCCCACCAATAAATGCCATGATCCGAGCTCCAGAACCTGGCACGCAAGCTCCCAACAAGCTGGCAGCAACGCTAAGCGCGGTGCTGGTGCACCGGGTGGCCCTCTGATCCGCGGGCACCGGCCAAGGGTCCTTCTGCAACTCCTCCAACACTGAATTAAGCGCAAACTCACAATCTGATGCGGGCAACAAAAACCTGGCAATGCTCTCGGTGCTCAACCCGTCACGGGGGCCCGCAATAACCCCAGTAGCCGGCTTCGGCTTCTTGAGAAAGAAACTCATCTGTTCAAGCAATTGCTCCTTGTTGACGTCCTTGGATCCTTTGAAAATGTAAGTTTTGGGGACACTGGGGAAACCCAATTCGTGGACATGGACGAAGGTCCCGAAAGTGATGAGCCCCACGAGAGAGTGGTCCGGGAGGAGACCGAGAGCCTGAGACAGAGCGGACTTGAGAAATGAGAGCTCCTCCTCGATCATGCAGGTGTCGACGACGAAAATAAAGACCGGAGGCAAGGTGGGTTTTTCGATGGACGAGTCGTACTCGATGGTGGTGTACTGGGGGAAGAGCTCGGCGGGGAGGTTCTCGTCGGAGATGGAGGCGTAGTGGGGAGGGAAGTGGTTGCGGGTGAAGCAGAAAGGGCAGATCCAGATCTTGGCGGCGTAATCGACGGTGGAGAATGGGTTGAGGACGGAGCGGCAGGTGCGGCAGCGAAGGGGGGCGTAGGGGAGGACGGGCATGGAGGGGAATGGCTTGATCGGAGTGTAGATGGCGGAGACTGGGACTACGCTGTTGGTGGACTCTTGCTTCGTGCCTGGGATTACGTTCCATGGCATTCGAACCCCGTCTTGGGATTCCAGGTCCATAAATTCACTCATTGTTTTCTGGACTTCGGGATTTTCAGGTGGATTACAAGGAGTGGGAGAGTGGAATTCTGGGTTCCTTTTTCTCTGTGTTGACGGAGAGGGAGAGAGAAGAAGAAGAACTCGAGTCTCAGTTTCTCACTTCGTCCTCAAAAAATATGACTGAAAATGTTATTGGTGAAATATATTTTAGATTCTAAATGTAATTGAAGTATTTTTAGTGATTGAAGCATTTAAGTATTTTTTTCGTAATTCATTTGCATTTTTAATATGAATTGATTTCAAAATTTCCTTCAATTTAAAAAAAAATACTTCCTAATGAGCCATTAATTTTTTAAGAGTAAATTGTAGTCGGGTCATGATGACATGATCCCTCACTTCCAAATGAGCCATTTTTAGTAGGCTAAATAGTCAAAATGGTCCCTAAGATTTGAATAACTCATCACTTTGATTCTTGTGATTGAAAATCAATAGAAATGGTGTCTATCATCCATCATTTTGATCCTTCGGTTAAAAACTCTTTGGGCAATTTTCAAAACTTTGTAACTCAATCATTTTTTAACCAAATTCGACCCATAATATATCAAAATGAAGATAGGAAAGTGTCGAACGTGATTATACCATTTGGAAGCCAAATGGTTGCCGAAGATGGCCAGAAAATAGCCTCAAAGGTGACTAGTTCGCGAGAAAACTGAAAAACTCATCGGAAACTGGGTAAACTTTAAACGTTTATAAGTTCTTCAGTGCTCAACGAAATCGAGTGATTCAAAAACTAAAATCATACTTCTTGACGCGACAAAGAGAATGGTATCCTTCTCGATGGCTAAATCGCCGTGGTTTGACCGGAAAACGGCTCGAAAGTGGTAACACGAAAATAGTTAGCCACTTTCGAGCCGTTTTCTAACCAAACCACGATGAATTAGTAGTCAAGAAAGGTACCATTATCTTCTTCTCGTCAAGAAGTATGATTTTCGTTTTTGAATCACTCGATTTCGTTGAGTATTGAATAAGTTATGAACGTTTAAAGTTTACCCAGTTTCCAGTTTTCTCGCTGACCAGTCACCTTTGAGGCTATTTTCGAGCCATTTTCGGCAACTAATGGGTTCCAACACTTTCCTATCTTCATTTTGATATATTATGGGTCGAATTTAGTTAAGAAACGATTGAGTTACAAAGCTTTGAAAATTTCCCAAAGAGTTTTTAACCGAAGGATCAAAATGATGGATGACAGACACTATTTCTATTGATTTTCAATCTCAGGAATCAAAGTGATAAGTTATGCAAATCTCAGAGACCATTTTGACTATTTAGCCTTTTTAGTACGATTTACTCTTTTTTTTTCAAAGCTTAAATTTGTGTCTCACTTTTCTAGGAGTCGGCCAATTTCATTCAAGTTAAGTTATGTTATGTTTGGTAACATAAAGGGGTATTTTCACCATTTTCTATGAAATTATTAATAAATACTTATATCAAGAGACAAATATTTTGATAAGTTTTTATCACAAATCATTATTTAGTCTCTTAATTTAAAATTTGATCAATGTTGACCCTAAAATTAACTACCGCACATTAATTTGATCCTTGTTGTCCCAAATCCGTCAAATTTTCTAGTAATTTATTAATGTGACTCGTAAAAGGCCCATACAATCAATGATTAAACGCCACGTATCAATATAAAAAAAATTAAAATGCAATTAGAAACCAAACAAAATAATTTTAGAAATAAAGAAAACACAAAAAACAATGATTTGGCTATTGCTCTGGTCTCTGCGTTGGACCTACGAAGAAAAAAATGGGGCAATGCTGCAGCGGATGAGGTTTCGTTTCTCTCTTTCAATTTCGTAGTGTTTTCTGTTTCATCCCATTGTTGTTCGGAGCCCTGACCGCTTCGATGACTTTCTGCAGAAATGGCAATTGAGATACGACTTGCGGGATTTGAACTTTAGGGGGTTAGGGTTTGCGAATTTTCCAAATCACGGATTTGTGTCAATTGGGTTTTCGATCGATTACACAAACAGCATACTTAACAGAGTCTAAACGTAATGACCAAATTCATGTGCAACATCAAATTTAAGGGATGACATTAATTGATTTTCAAATAGCGATAACATTGTCATTTTGTTATATCATTTTGTCGAGTAATATAACATTCTGAATTTGCTATAAGCTCTGAACAACCATGTCAAAATGCATGATCCTACGCAGCCAAATCACTTGAGACATACAATACAGAAATACAGACAACGCCTCTTTTGGTTGATTTCCTGGTTTTTCGAAGACGACTCAATTTATCCTTGTGCCAAAATTGTTGCTTTCTATCACAAATTCCGCAAACATTTTTTCCATTGAAATCGAAGATAGTTTCACAAAAGATTATATTAACATTTCGACCATCTAGCATTCAAGTGAATGTGTGTTTAAAAAGGTTTCGATAAGATCGATATTTCCAAGAAAATATCCAAAAAAATTAGAGAAAGATATAAAAATGAGGGATGAAGTCTAAGCTTCACCTTATATCGAAGAAACTGTTAAGATTAGAATAAAATCGACAAATTTTGCCGATATTTCTAACACATCTATTAAATATCATAGAAACTCTTGTATTTCACCCAACCTAATGTTTAAAAATCCCTAAAATTTCATTTTAAAATTTCTATTATTTCCGCCATAACAATTAATATCGATATTGAGATTCGATATATCTTTCCATATTTCCACAAATTCACAAAACATTACTTAACATTCATTCATGCGAGTCAATGCCGATACAAAAATTCACAGAAAAAAAACAACATAAACAAAAAAAAGGAACCAAACTAGCTCTTGGGAATGTTCTTGCCCACAATTTTAGCAGGAGCAATGCGGAGAAGGTTTCCAGGCTTACCAGGCAGGGCGCCTTTGATCATCACAACATTGAGCTCCTTATCGATCTTCACAATCTTCAGCTTCCTGATCTTGGTCTTGGTCCCTCCCATTCTCCCCGGCATCTTCTTCCCCTTGTACACCCTTCCAGGCGTTGTTCCGGCACCGATTGAACCCAGAGCTCTGTGGCTTTTGGATCCGTGGGTCATCAGCCCCCGCTTGAAATTGTGCCGCTTGATTCCTCCCTGAAACCCCTTTCCGATTGTGGTTCCAGAGACGTCGACGATGTCACCCTCTTTGAAAAGCTCGTCGAAGGAGAGCTTCTGGTTCGGCTCGAATCCTTCGACGTCTTGCAGCCGGAACTCCTGGAGGTGGCGGAGGGGGATCGAGCCGGCTTTCTGGAGGTGACCCATTTCGGGCTTCGTCAGCTTCCGGTCACGGACCCGACGGTAACCGATTTGGACGGCGTCGTAGCCGTCGGTGGCCTGGGTTTTTACCTGGGTGACGATGTTGCCCTCCTTGAAACCCACGACGGTAACCGGGACGACTTTGCCGGTCGGCTCGAAGAAGCTCATCATGCCGAGCTTCGTGGCCATGACTCCGATGCCGGCCTCCATGCTCATGGTGACTCCCGTCGGTCGCTTTTTGTGGGATTTTGCGACCGCGATTTGGAGTGGCGGGGTGAGGAATGCGGAGGATTTGGAGGAGAAAAGGACATTGGGGAGGAGAGCGGAGGAAGAAGAAGGTGAAGAAATGGAAAGGATTGACATGGCTGTCTGGTTTTTGGGTTGAGAGAGAGGAAGAGGACTGCAGGGCGGGTGGCCTTGTTTCTTATCTACTATACTGTACTGATATGTGGGACCACCCAAACTACAGTAGGGCTGAAAAATAAAAATTGAGTAGAAGGGGATAGAAAGGATCCTCTCCTTCCTCCTAATTCATCCAATTAAGAAATCCGTGCTATTGAAATTTGATTAAACGACTACAAATAAAGACCCACTTTAAAAGTTATAATAACTTCAATCGTTGAATGAAATTTCAACGACACAAATTTCTTGATTTAGTAGATTAAGATGAAAAAAGGGGATGGGTTTAAATCACTTTTACTTTTACCTCAAATCATATTTTGTTATATATGGAGAGGAAAATAACATAAAACGGATTTATTGCCATGTGATGAGTTCAATACAATGTTATATAGAGAAAAACTCACGTATGACATTATAACTTGACCTAGATGTCACGATGACCATGAATCATTTCCTGAATGTTGACACTTGCATAGCTCACTCTATAACTTTTGCCAACCATCCAAACCGTTTATAATTTAATTCAAAATGAATAACCATTACAAAAAATTAAACAAATTCAAAATCATTTAAACATCCAATTGTAACGAAAGATACAGGCGAAAACTAGGATTTAAGCCCATGTGGTGAAATCTGTTAGGATTTAAGCCCAAAGTTAAAAATTTCATCAACTCTCCATTAATTAACACGTGAACCACATATTAGGCTAAAATGAAACTCTCTATTAATTGTAAACATATAAGGCTAATTTTATTTTTTTAATCTCACATATGAGCTTTTATGTGCTAAAAATTAACAGAGTTAACAAAAAATTTCAATTTTGGATTTAAATCTTAACAGATTTCACCACATAAGCTTAAATCCTAGTATTTTTACCACATAGATTATCGTCCAACTACCCTATTACCTAATAATCCAATTAAGCCTAACTATTTTCTTGATGCATTCATTGGGTCTAATCAGATAGGGTACACAGAAAAGATTCTTTTGTTAATTTGGGTCACCACGCAAAATGTTGGTGGATTCTACACAGTGAAAAGGGTAAAAAGGAAAACTGTGTCACCCATGTCATATCATACGGTCAGAAACAAAGAACAGCGTGACGATCATACTAAAAAATTCTCCTAAAACTGAAAGGTAACTAGCATTTACCTTCATTGAAGAAACTTCAAACGAGAACCACTTGATATACCAATTCCGTTACAGAGATTTAAGCTCCTTACGCCGCACTTTAGAACTAAAATCAGATTACAGCTGAAAAAATCAGTCAGTAAACAAACCGAATGGAACTATTCTACAACCTTTTGCTGTGATACTACCTCTTCCAATAAACAATTTAACACGAAGCTTATTTGGTCACGCAGACCTCTCTAATTCTCGGCCAAAATAAATACTGCGCCGGTGAAGAGCTCCTCCGTATCTCTGTTTCTCAAAACAAATAATGGAATATTTAACGGAATTTGTAGCAGTGTCAAAGCATGCTGCTAGCTACAAGGACTCCAGAGGTAGATGTTCGGCAGGTCAACTCACATTTTCACTAACATTTTCTGAGCAACGCATCTCCTTGTCAAATGTCTGAAGGGTCATTGATGTCCTGGGCAGTGTAACAGAATACGTTAGCAGATAAAAGTGGAAGATCATAGAGGATCGATAAACAAAGAATAGATAAATAAAAGTGACTTACCTTATTCTCTATTACCAGTCCGTCAGGAATTTCCAATTTCACTCCGGGTTTTGCAATAATAGTTACTTTCCCCTTGAGAAGTAAATCAACCATAAGAAAAGAAATGAGTTATTGCTGGTGTTGAATCGACAAATAAACAGCGAGAAACAGTGGAAAGATTGATGGCAATATGCTCTTCAAGAAAATTAATTTTATATGAAAGGATAAATGAATGAATGAACTTGAATGAATATGAGTCCAATGCATGGTACATGTGTTCTGCTCTGATATCAATGCCCGAGTCATGCGTATAATCATAGATACTGCCAGAACTAGCAATTTGTTTTCCAGTAAGATTCTGAGGTCTTTTACCACCGATATCACAAAGTAAATAAAATAAACTCCATAAAGCTAAAAGGTTACAATTCAGAATATGCTTGGGCACAAAGTTCGTACAAATTTGAAACAAATTCCGGCAGAACATTAACAATACCTTGAGAGTTATACCAGCTCCAAACCACACATCACCAGTCACCTTCAAGCTATCCAGGTCAATAATATCGGGTATGGACTTAAATCGACTTAGGAGGTCACTGACCTGAAGGAGATAAAATAAATAAAGCTATTAAAGACAAATAGCAACAGATAAAGGAATGGAAATTGCCATGATGAAACAGATCTTTACCTTTTCAAATTGTGGTCCTAATTCAATAAGAGGATCTTTGGGATTAGTTCTAGCTATATTCCGAACTAGAACTCCTTCATCGCAGATGTAGATATCTGACTGTAGAAGTACATAAATGAGATATAACAAAAACTAAAAATTTAAAGCTCTACAGAGAGTAATATTTCACTTGTTAATATTGAACGTATGGGTTAGAGCAGTGCTAACATCACCTTTAAAAGAAGTAGGTCTGATGTTTTATTGATTGAAAGAGATCGAGAATGGGGGACATTGATACCAATAGCACGATCAAAGAACTGGTACAGACATAAAAGTTACATTACATAAAAACATTGAAACAATAACCATTGAAAGAAATGACAAGTAATGATCATCGGACGAAAAATACCCGTATTGCTGAACCAGCTGCTGTTTCTTGCAAAGGAATTTCATCACTATCCGTTCCCTGTTAAAAGGGAACAGTATTTTTAGTAATTACTAGGGAAGTTCTACAGATTATGGGGTATGGTACCTTCGAAACAGGGATATCTTCTATCTTTAGTGCATCTGTATCCAAAAGCCTTTTAACGGCTTTCAAATTGACCCACCTGTACAAAATAGCACAAATGTGAAATTAAACATATTATTCAGTTGCAGAAGCAATGTAAAAGACTTGCTATTTCAACTTACAAGCTGCCAGTATCAACAAGTTTGAATTTGTCCATTGACTTGGATGCATCAACAAGCACATAACACAAAAGAGTCATTTAATAGAAATGATACTAAAATCAAGTTAATCATTAAAACACAACAAGTATAATCAGCACAAAATAGAATTTCAAACCGAGAAAGTGAGATATAAAACAAAACATAACCAAAAGAGAAGACCAAAAAGAAAAGGAATAAGTCACAACTTACATGTTTGACAAAATTCTGAGCTATTTCCGCAAGCTGCATTATATTATGGGAAGAAATATTAATTACCTATTATTTAACATATTAAGAAAAAAATAAAATGGGGAGGGATCCATGACACCACATTTTAGACACAAGTTTAGACAAAACTATTATGCCATTGGATTAGCCCATTATGAACGGATGAGATTGAATTTGATATGCCAAGTTTAATTGATATTTTTTAAATAAATAAACTTTGAAATAATAAATCTGAAACATTTTATTTTATTTTATTTTTCTCTCGTTCCTTGAAAATCGAAGAGATCAAATTTAACCCTCCTCCTCCTCTTCACGCAGAAACCCTAAGCTATTGGTTTCTGTTGGTCTCCTTCTCCCAGATTTGGGCTACCATTCTAAATTGTAATGGAAGTGTGTCTGATTGTTGTTGACATTGACCATATGAGTTACTTATACAATTGACTGAGTTCAATCATAGACTGTTCAAAAACTAATCCATATACTGATGATGACGAAATTGAAGGCTGAAAACTTGTGTCTGAAATGTGGTGTCATGGATCCTTCCCCCAAATAAAATCTACCCATCAATGGTTAACAAAAACAAAGCCAAGTTAACCAAAACAAGTTTACTTCAGCAAAACAGAGCATTTTGGATTAGGAACAAAACTAGATTTAAAAGTTCACTTCTAGAAATTATATAGTAAATTATTCTCTCGGTGAACATGGGTATAAAAACACCCCAGAAAACAACAATCAATTTCTCTCAGCAATAAAACGAGCCTAACAGATCCTCCATAACACAGCAGATCAACCCAATTAGGACTCAGGAGGGTTCTCAAAATAACAATAGCCCAAATCCATGTTGCAGCTCCAATTAGCAAGGTTGATGCTATCCAAATTTATTGTCTCGCAAAAGAGCGTATAGTATTTTAGGATTATGAACATATTTGGATTTTGAGTCATTGACAAATGACAACTCATCTTACCTGAAGTTAGTTTGGGTTAGATAATTATGTTCATCACCAATATGTTGTTGTTAAAACCATCAGTAGCCAGTTGTATGCGAATTTACACCACAAGCATATCCAAATGTATAGCTCGGTTCTTTTGGTCAAAAATAACACTTCAAAATCATTTCCTATCCAGAGCAAAGGAAGAAAAAGGTATATCCTCCAACCTAACTCCCTACACACTGGATGGATCATAGCACAAATGGATGGAAGGTTTCCGCCATGAAAATAACTTTTCAGTAGTTTAATCTAGAACTCCAGGTTATGGTCAATTACGGCACAACGTGCAGCTTTATGAACAGGTTTCCAAATCTATCTAAGCAGTTTCTTCCTTTTCAAGGCTTCCCCTAAACTTGAATCTGACTCCTACAACCAACTTAAAATGAAAATAGGACCTATACAAGATGTGGAGTCATTAAAGAATTTCAAGTTTAACCTATCACTCAAAAGTTCAAATATTTATAAATTGCATCACAAGATTATAAGAAGTGAAAAACTAACCACCCTTGAAAATACTACCATTGAGCAGTCCAATCACAATTTTACTGGATTGAAGATAAGAGGAAAGTCATATAGAACCATTTAAACAACTTACCTCAAACTTCTGTAGGCGTGAACCAATGTTGTTAAAATCTGAATCATAAAAGGTAGGTGTGACCTGTTGGAAGGGTAAAATCGGAATTACAATATTTACCACAGAAAATGGAAAAATAAACCAAAGAAAAAGGAAGGGTTAATTGTTACCTCCATACAATATTCAATTTTGTTTTCAATCAAATGGTTTAAAATTTCTACACATCCACTTAAGGGACACAAGGATCTAAGATTGGGCCCAAAAAAGAACAAAAGCACAAAATAAATGAAAGTATCAAAGAGGACTACACTAATAAAAGAAAAAAACGACGACAAGGATACTTGGGTCAATTGTAGCAGCCACATTGGCTGAGTTAACCAGAAGGATATACTCCTTACCCTGAAAAGGAAAGCTGAAGAAGTTTAGTCAAGTTTACCTTTAGATACCACCTCTCGCCGGGTACTTCTTTATGGATTGATTCCAATTGATGTTTCTCAGAAGTTCAGATGAAAATGTAAATAAAAAAAAAAAACATGGAGAGTATCACCACTGCTGCATTACTATACAAACCTGTGATAGTAGGACATCAAGAGTTCCACTTTTCACAAGGGAAAGGAACAATGCTCCATGACCAGAAGGATATCTTCACATATACACAAAAGTAGTATAACTGATATAAATATATTAACTGTCAAAAGAAATCAATTGGTGATTATATGGGCATGAGATATGCATTGGATGGTATACTTAGATATTACAGTTGTCTATATGGATAGATCCCTAGACAGTGCACATAATCAAGATGAAAAGAGAAGTAGACGAACAAAAAAATTCCCATCCTCGCACAGGACAAGACATAGCAAATTACTAGGAGCCAATAACACTTAATCTATTCTGAAAATGTAAATCTATTCTGAAAATGTGTTGTCTGCCATCAAAATCGAAAGATTTTGTATATATTAGTTAAAAAAATTAATAATGTCGAAAAGGCATAAGAAAGATGACATACAGTTCATCTTCACCACCCTGTTCTACTCCATGTGACTTGAGCTGTGGTTGTTGGGTCTGTATAAATTCGAAGATATACATTCACAAGTAATTCCCAATCCAAGCTTCCAATAACCCAAAAAGGGAAAGAAAAAAAGAACATAAACTACTATTAAAAAATAATACAAGTTGGAGCTAAAAACCTGCTTAAGAGAATGAATATCGATGTTTGAATTGGAATATTTCTCCACGACCTATATTACACAAGCTGATATGAGCAAAAAACCATAGGATCCAAAAGTATGAACATACAGGGAAATGCAAAGGAAATTCACCTTGACAGTATCTTCGTGTGTCGTTGGTGTGTTCATCAGGAGCAAAGGAACACTGCATCTGTACTTAGAACGGAGAGACTGAAAGAAATTGGAGCGGTGATGTTATGGTATCTGAAGTGCAGATCACAGAATATATTATGCAATTTTGAAAGCAACACAAATACGGATAGAAAGTGGTTCAAACCGACCTCAATTTGCTTAACAATTAAGCCTAAAGATGTCAACCCATCACGGATTTCAATAGCGGACCTGCATTAAAAATAAATTTAAAATAAATATAATTACAGTAAATTTGCTACAAAACCAACCAGAACAAAAATTAGAAAAACCAACCAGGACAAAAATTAGAAAAATACAGGCACAAACCAAGTACACTAAGTTAGCCCAAGAATCCAATAAGTGAGAAAAGAAAAATGTCCAAGTAATTGAGTATGAGCGCATACTTGGGGCCATGGAATCCCAAGCTTGTGCCCGAAGCTCCATTGAACTTGAGCACTACAAGCTTGTCTAAGAGCTCCTCAGTTTCTTCAACACCTGCACTCTCACACGCGCACGAAAAGAAATTCCTCTAACAATTGATTACTTTTGGTGAAATTGATTAAAGAAAACGAAATGTATATCCATGTTACCAGGAGAAATAGGTAACAAGTTGTAAGGAAGCACAAGCAACTCAGCCTTGTTGGTACTCTTACTCTCCTCTGTACTCTCCACTTGCTCCCTTCAACATAAAACACACAATCAAATTTCACCACAAAGTTTCAGTAGAGAGCAACTCAATAAACACAAACAACGCGAGACGCACCTCGTTTCCTCCTCTACTGCAACGGCACCATTCCTCTTCTGCTGAAGCAGAAAAGTCTTGGTAATCAAATTGCACACCAAGTACACGAACTGAACCGACTCGTTGGCCGGAATTGGATACGTGATCTTCTTATAGTACTCCAATGGCATTGCCGAATCAACAAGCGAAACAATTGGAATCTGCAACCTATCGGCCTCCAGAATCACCGAAGATTTACGATCCGTGTCAAAAACCACAAGGCAATCGGGCGGCTGGGTGGGGCCGAAGCATATCTTCTTATGGCGGGACCGGAATTTCTTGGGACTGTGGCTGTTGGTGAGGAAGCCGCCGGTGCGCCAGAGCATGTTCATGGAGGGGCTGTAGCACCCAATCTTCTTGGTCATCTGCTCGATGATTTCGTCCCAGAGGGAGTTGGTGTTGACGAACATGAAGCGGGCCTTCTGCTGGGCGAGGGCAGCAATGAACGCGGCGGCGCTGCGGAGGCAGATGAGGGTGCGGTCCGAGTCGATGATGGCCATGCCATTGCGGGTTCCGTAGGTGAACTGCTTGAAGTGGTGGGCGGCGACACGGCGGCCCAAATGGGCATTGGTGCTGAGAAGCTTCTGTATGACAATGGAGTGGAGAGTCATAGCGTTTGTTAGGGTTTACCTGGGTTTTTCCGGCGGAAAAATGGTGAAACAAAAGCATTGAAAATTTGGAAGGGGGGAGAATTGGATCGGGTTGATCGGGTGACTCGTGATCCATCGGCCGTGGGGTTTATTTTTCGATATTTGCCTCCAAATTCTTTGTTAATTTTCCACTTTAGTCCTTGTCAGTATCTAGTTAGTCTGTATTTTTACATCCAATGTCGGATGGTTATCCTATTAAATATGTGTAAGTATTGTAGTCAATTCCTTAACTTTATTTTTGGATAAAGAAATTTAAAATTACTAAGGATTTTAAAATGACTAGATTTTATTTTTTAGAATTTGTGAATTTTCTTATTTGGTTAACTTAAAAGAACAATAAAATTAAATACAAAATTTGTTATTTTTAAACTTTCAATCATAGAAATTGGGAAATGACATCTATTTACATGAAATTTAAACTTAGAAATTAGAGGTTCTGAATTCCAAGTTTTTTTTCCTCGCAAAAATTCTAAATTTCTATGTTTATGAATCCAAACAAAGGAATTGGTGCATGTCAACCTATAAATTCTAACTTTTATCCAAATTCCAAGTTTATTTCACACGTCCAAACATAGCATAAATGAAGTCAACAATTATCATTACTATTTTTATAATCCAGCTTAGGTTACTCCAAGAGATTTTTGGGAAGTTGGTGGCAAAGACGATCAAGGTTGTAGCGGTTAATCAAGAGTCTTTTGATTAGATTGCTACCACATGATCTTTCTCTTGTTAGATGTACCTAATATGGAGATTTGAGACTTGGAATGAGGAAAGGTCTGTCCCGCTCCTCCTGAGTCATGGACTCACCATGCTTCAAAAGCTTTGGGATCATCACCTAAGTAGAGCGGCCGTTCTTATCAGCTCACGTGTATCGAAATACTCCCACATATGCAGTAGCGGGGAAAATGTGGGGTCATTGGGATCACAAGAACTCCAATAACACCAATTGTCTCTCTTTAGTTATCATGCTTGACCCTAAAGAAATCTAGAAAAGAGAAGGATATTGAAGGCCACGTTCTTTTAGTATGCTTTTGTAGATAGTTAAGGGTAATGCACTACATATTAAAGATTTGTATCAAGAGTCCAATATGCATAGGAGGTGCGTATTTTTCTTAGAGAATGGTGGAATGAGCATTAACAACATTTTCTCAGAATATGCATTGGCCTCGGTTTACATAAGAAGTTGAATTTGATATGATACATCTCTATGGGTACCTTGATTGATAATATTATTATTATGCCTCCATTAGGATAAAATTCTGACTCCGTCACTGCACATCTAAATTGTAGAAGTTTGCCTTTGAAATGTTGGCAGAGGGGAAAACTGGCCATGAGTTGGCATGTCCTAATTCGTAAAATCCTCTAAGCATGGAACACGTATCTTCATTGGATCCAACAAGTGTAAACATAATGGTTGTTGGATCCAATCTATGCCCAACAATGCATTACAAGTGGATGTGTTTTCCCCAATAAAGAAAGCCACCATAAGTTTCTTTGATCCCAAGTCAACCCCTAAAGGCATAACACCATAGCTTTTGGTGATGCCCCCAGAAAAATTTGATGCTGTTAACTATATAGAGATTAAATCAGCATGTAATAGGCTCAATTTTCTTAACACTTTGAGAGGCAAAACGTTCACAGATGCCTCTCCATCAACCATACTCTTCCAAATGGCACTCCTCCTAGATGAGCAGCCATATGAATTGGTCTCATATGGGCTGCCACTCTCAGATTTGAGCTAAGAACAATTGATACAACTTTTATCGGATTGGATATTAGACCATCAGATTTGGTTAAAGATGCTTCCTTGTAAAGAGTTACAATCAAAGAGAATAACTGTCTTAAGGCTGGTAAATCGATACTACGCAAAAGAGATGGTAACAGAGCAAATTCTAATTGATCTTAGAGTTTAAAGGAAGGTTCCTAAAGTTCTAAGGTCTTGGCTGTAAGTGGTATTTTGCCTAAACCCGTAATCATCTTCCCTCCAGAAACACTAACGTGCGTTGCATTTAATGTTCATTGCAATCGAGAGGGAAGGCTGAGATTTTGGTATCTTTGACTAGTCAAAAACAATATAGGCCTACATTGTTCATTAGAGTAAATTAAAAGTCCAAATTTTATTTCCTTGTAAATCATCTTATTAGGTCAAAATCAATGCTAGAGATATTAGATTATTACTTAAGCGTTGATTAACGTGTTTATTTTTTTTAGTGACACATCATTTAGTTTGCAAATTTAACCTATAAATATAGTCTCCGCAGAATTACTCTTATTTTTAGTGTAGACAACAACCACTCTTGACAAAAACACCATTGGTGTGCTAGAAAATGCACATACACTGACTATATCAGGGCCAAAAGGAATTATGTATGGAAAATTAGGAAAAACTGGATACATATTTCATAATACCTTGATTCCTGAATATAATTTCTACATTCCGAATCGGAATTATTTCATAAAAACTCATAGTAAATGATATGATTTGACATTTGAGTAATTCAGGCCCCCCTATGCAGAATAATAATCTTGAGGGTGGTGAGAACTACGGCTATATTTGACTCTACAAAAAGATATATATCATGTGAAGAAGAGATGTTCAGCCCTTGGTCGTCGTCTTTTGGTTAACTTTGCCTAGCTGAACTCCCACGGAGGAACCAGAGGTGGATCCAGATCCGTCGACGCTGCTCGCCTTCCTTTTCTTTGCCTTCTGAGCCCAACCAATAAGTCCCGAGCGTATACCCTCGTCGAATATTGCTTTCTTGAATTTGGTTCCCATCTACATTGCATTGCAGAAACAGAAAAGAATGGAGAACTTGAAAGAACGTGGAACTTTGACAACCACCCCGAAAAAAATTAGACAAAATTTAGTCATCGTAACGAAAACTAGCCATTTTTAGAAAGCTTTACGTTAGCCAAAGTTGATGACTATGGAAAATAGCATCAAAACTTGACTAAACTCACTATTTTGTTATCTGTTAATGACTCTTTCCAAATTTGATGATTGTGGACAAATGACACTCCTTTTTAACTTGAAGCCCCTTCTAGTATCGACTCTTCTAATCGTACTCAAACTGCCTTCGAGTCTTCCTCGAAGGGGCTTACATGTAAGCTTTGAGTAAGGGGAGTTTTTTGTCCATCAGCATCAATGTTTTACTAAATTTGCCAAACCCCCACTCACTGGAAAAGGGAAGGCAAGTTGTAGTTTTAAACTCGACGCACCTGCGTGACAATGGCATAAAGTGGTAGAGTACTGTAACTGCAGAGCACCTGAATGAACACCCTAATGAAACAGAAAATTAAAAGGAGAGGGATTAGCAGCAAGAAATGTTAAATTGAATTTTCTTCGAGTGGTTTTCGAACGAAGAATGAAAAAGGGAAAGGTCTTTGAAGGTTTACCCAATAACAAGCCTGGGGACAATGTATCTTACTTTTCCCATTATGCAAGATGTAAAACCATATTGAACCTGCAAAAGAATATAAGCAGATCAAAGATGAAGTCAGTCTCACTTAACAATTTAACTGTAATCGCACGGTATGAAGTGGATCGAAGAATCTGTATTTACCCATATCCAGAAAAAGAATGCCATTTCGAAAGCATTTTGGAAGAGGATCAGATGAATCAAGAAGAGAACAAATTTGGGCTTGCCAAACCAAAAGTGCTTGTCTGATGGTTGAACTATTAGTTCTCCTTCTACGGCGATATGCTTCTCAGCAACCTCATGAGCCAACTGGGTGATTACGTGCTGCAGCTTAGTTCCGACAGCAAGCAAAAGCTGGAGAAAGAGGATACAAACGATTGATTACATTGCAAGGAACTGAAATCAGATGAATGATGAAGGAGAACAATCAGTGTTCTATATTATGCACAACTCAAACGACGCAGTGACTGAAATGTAATGGAAGGAGTTAGATTAAATGCTTGAATTTGCAAGCACAGCAGATTAAATGAAAGTAATGCACATGAGAAATGATTGACAAAACCCGATCAAGGTTATGCGAAGACCACTTACAAAGAAAGGAATAAATGCAATCCAGAAGTATGCATGCCATCCTGCACGCGAAAAAGAAAAGAATGTCACTATTTATGGCGATAGTGTTCTTCTTAAAGGCGGGCAATGCAATCTATGCCACAAGTGCATGAAAATGTCAAAGGGAGGTGGTTTCGTTTGAGACAAGAATCATACCATCGACATTCATAAGCATGAAGATGACCACAAATATCCAAAGATACCAACTGCAGCCAACGAAAACCATATGGTGAATCAAAACAAATCAAAACCATTTTACAGGGCAGATTGGTCAGAGGCATTAAACGTCTCAAAAATTACCCATTGAATTCACAAGGAACAACAATATGGCAAAATTATATCAGATAAAACTTGCCTGATACCGACGACTCTTTTAAAATCATCTTCAAGGGTGCGTACCATGTACGTGTAGAAATCAAACTTGGGGTTTCCCCTGCAATGGGTCTGCAGCGAGAAATAATGAACACAAAAAATATAACTCAGGTTAGGAGCCAAGTAAGGCAATAAACACACTGAGAACTCATCAACCTTTTGTAAAGGTACCTTACCGAGATGAAACCAAGTCGCAAAGTCAAGTAGTCTGATCTGCACACTGATCCATAAAACTGGTTGAGGAAAGAATGCTGGACGCGTGCAGAATAACAAACCAAAAACGGCGTTAGCATTATAGTATTTCCACTTGGAAAAACAATAAAACTGTACTGATTTCAAGTGAATCTGAGGTCTAACTTCTTAGATTCCTTAACAGTTCCTATCCCAAGATTGTGCAAGACTCACCAAAATCGTTCATGGCCTCTTTGAAAAACAATAACAAGCATCAATTCTTTCCTTTACTTAAAAGTAACGGAAATGCACTAAACTCAACTATTATTTTATCATCTGTGAGTTCTAGCCTTAGTTAAAAACTTAAAATTATATATGTGGATAGATTGCATTATAAATGGAAAAGTATCTTACCAGCCATCCCTTCACACGATAATTTTTGCCGATACCCCAAAAGTGATCCTTGACAAAGTCATGCTCCT